GATGGCAACGTATGTGCCAGCCAGATTAGATGACGGCAGAGTTTATTGTTCACTGCTGCTTGCAACAACAGCACATCCTCATCCTCATCCTCATCAACATCTGTAACCTCCTCCTGTTTCCCCCCTCTCTGTGTGGCATATGGCAAAAATTATCTGCTGCCTTGCAGCGATTTTTGCATATTTCACTGGTAACTAGCCCAGATTGAAAATGGTAGTGGAAGTAAGATGGCAGCCATCCCTTTCAGCTTTGGCCAACCCGAATGCAAATGGGAACTCAGGGTGAGGAAATTGCCTGTGCCAGTGATGAATTTAGATGAAGTTCTCTCTGGCTGGTCGCTCGGCAAAATTCGAAATGAGGAAAATGCAATTTAAAACTTAAATGGATAATTTGCAGATGGAACCAACAGTCGGAGGGTGAAATGAAATGAAATACATCGCCTACATGCCATATCCGATGTTGAATTAAGCGGGGCAATTTGCATAGAATGGGAAAGTGTTCGGTGTAAATAACCTTTTTGTCGCCATTTAGTTTCCGAGACAATTGTGCTTGGAGCTCGTGCAAATAGTCGAGATAAAAGCACTTTAATGGCTCTATGTCTTAATGTGTTTAGAATGCAACATTAGCCAAGTTAAGAAGCGGATTTAAAGCGGTGAACTCAAAGCAACGACTAGTTTATACTCCGGAAATTATTCAAGTTCAGGAAAAGGCCTAAAAGTATACCTTAAATATCATTGGAATAGCGGGAATTACCTAAATATATCTGAATAGTTACGATTTTTCTATTTTAATTTTTTTTTAAGATTTTGTTTCGTAATACTAGAACAAGTATCTGCTTTTCTCAAAAAATAGTATTCCATTTCAAGAACATCCTATTTAAAATGTATAAAATGTTACTAATAATTTATAAATAATAATTGCAAATTTATAAATTTAATTTTTAAGTATGAAAATGTTACTTTCCTTTTAAGTAAAGATTTTCCAATAGGGCATACCCCCAGAAGCCACAACAAAAACACACACACACAGTGCAACATCGGATACAAATCCGAATCCAAGTCTGGACAGACGTCCAACCGGAGCTGCCACAGACCTTGGCCGTGGAAGGTGTCGAGGTGGGGTTGGTGGGTGGCAAATTCGATTAGACGAACTTTGGAACTCTATTAAGCTGAGGCACAGTTTCAATGTCTCGGCCCCATCGCCTGCGTCTCCGTCTCCGCCACCGGCTGCACCCATCTATCACACTTGCATATCGGATGTGGGCTTTCGATTTCAAGTCACGTTTGGCTCTCGAGCCGATCTGGCCACAGTTGTGCAGCTTTCAGCTCCCAGCTCCGTACTTTGGCCGTGGGCCATTTGTCCAAGGCGCCGCTGCCGCTGCCGCTGACAGAATTTAATTCCGGCAAAGTTGTCGGAAAAGCCCCGGTGACAAACATTCACTTTGGCCAAAACCGCAGGCCCAAACTATTCCGTTCTGAGTTAAGTTGCCAAAGGTAACAATTGCAATTGATTTATGGCGTATGCAAATTGGAAATGTTATTTATATGACAGCTAATACTAATTGTGAGTATGCCACAGTTGCCTCTCAGCAGGTGGAAACTATTTATATATAGTTAACTTCTCCGAATAAATGCATATTCAAAGTGGAATTTACACGTGTAACAAGTGAATCTGGAAAACATATGGTTTATTTAAATCTTCTTGTAAGGTAGAGATTTATTTTGAACATGTTTTAAAAGTTATTGTGTTTAATTTTGAACTTTTATATATTAAAAAGATAAATTTATTCATATTATTATTATTAGGCCCTTAAAGGTATGATATTTTTGCAATTTAAGGATCATATTACTAGTAACAAGTAGAAGACTGTGTATAAAAACTTATTATAAAAATGTTGCTAAGTAAATGTGGTAAGAACATTTTGAAGATCTGTCATCATATAAATGTTGCACACGTTCTGCAAACCCAATCAATAACAATTACAATTGTTCTTAAATATGTAAAAAACATCCCCCAAAAATATATTTATAATATATTAATATGCAATATTTATAATATTCAAAGTGTTAGAGTAACGATACTTCCCTAAACTCATAAATATCCATACTAGTTTGTATGGTTATTTATTTATTTAACACTTTAATTGATAGGCGGACGCCTACTCCGCGATATTAAATCTTAATCGTTCGGACATTTTATTAAAATAATTTAAATGTTCATGCATGACTATATAATATAATAAATTAAAAATGACCGCGGTACTGACACCTGGTGGAATTGCATAGTGGGGCCTTGCTGGAAACTAGTTTAACTCAAACGCTTAAACTTGACAGAGATAATCATGGTTCTTATGGAAATTTCCCAATAATTGGCCCCCTCAGATTATATGATAAGGCAAGAGATAACGCCAAAGAAATGTCAGAAACAAAAGCATTTGGTGGCGTTTTCATCAAGTCAATGGAGCGTTTAGCAAAACGTTTAATCATTTCGATTTTATTTACAAATTGCCAGCCATCATGGCGTTAATGTGATTTTAATTATCTGTATGCAAACAGAATCGCAACGAGGCGATGACGGCGAGGCCTGTGATCAGCACTTTGAAGTCGTCATTAAATCGCCGCAGAATATCACTCATGCTGGCACTACTTACTAATACAGTGGGTTCAAGAAAGGCACTGCCCAATTAAAAAAATAACTATAAAAATGCAATAACTTTTCTCTAAGCAACCTCTATGACTTCCGTTTAAATATTACTTGAATACTGGACACGTTTACAAACTATTTAAGACCGATTTTTATTTGCTTAAATACTTTCTTGACTGTCTGTTCATAAATAATTACGAGAGGCCAACTATTAAGCATATGTTAATTTAACTTATGGTGTCATAAAACATTTGTAAGTGTCAATTAGTCCCGATATCGAATGTGCACATAATCCCACGGACCCCACAGAAGCTCGAACTGTGTGTCGGCGGAAACTTGTTTCGCCAAGCTTTCAATAATTTTGGCAAACCTGTAAGTTCCATGCGATTTAGTGAGGATCATTATAAGTATGACAAGGCAGAATTTAAACTGTAAAGATATTAAATATATTTGATAGAATTCTTATAGATTTTAAAGTGCATTGACACATATTTGTATAAGGTTTCCTTAATTAGAGAATCGATTTTATTCTTTTGTATCGGATTTACTCACCCCTCTGAATATAAAAGGTGGCTAAAATTATAAATGTATAAAACAAACATTGCACCTGCAAGCCCTAAATGGTTGCCAGGCTGATTCATCTGACCCAAGGAAGGAAGATGTTATAACCTGGACAATGGAATGAAAGGAGGCGCGACTCTGACGACGAGGTTGAGTTAAATTTAGAGTTAGCCGCTCTTGGCTGGACCAGATCAGCTGACCAGAAACGAGTTGTTCCGCAAAAACAGAAACAAAAACCAGACCGAGTGACTAAATACTCATAATGTAAACAGAATTACCCATGAAAAGTTTCCAGTGATTGTGCATGATAAACAGTTTTCGGCGACAATTTTGCATATATTTTTTATTGTCTACTAATTGCGTCGGCTTTTGGTTGAACAATCTATAAACAAAATATTTAAAATATTCCATCAACTCACCGAGATTTGATTCTAGTCCACGGGGAGTTGATTCCCCCGCAAAGATCCCCCTTATTATTGGCTGATAATTGGTCAGGAGAGCGCGCACGCCAAATTAAACAAATCGTTTCGAAGAGCACACGCTGCTGCCAGCTAAGAATGTAAATACTATAAACCCCTTCGTTCCGTTTCCCCCTAGAAATATATATATGTATGATTTTTTTATTTTGCGGGGGAGAGACCTCCACAATGGCGATGTGTGTTTCTTTCTTTTGTCGCATATTAATTGAGCCAGCGGCGTGCGCTCCGTTTGCACGGCCAAAATAAGCGACAGCTGCGAGCGGAAAGTAAACAAAAACAAAACGGGACGCGACGCGATGCGATGCGAGGTTTGGCTAGGCGAGCCTCAAAGGCGCAAATCATTCACATTGCTCATACGCCGTGTGGGATTTCTTGAAAAGGGGGAAACGTGCCTCTTTGGCGCTTTGCTTCTTGGGTTACTCAAAAGGGAATTTAATGGTTCATAGATTTTAATAAATACATGTGGATTTAAGTTGTAGCCCTAGCCTGATCTGCTGCAAAAATAATCTAGCAATATCACTCATACGCACTGTGGGAGGTTATTGAATATTATATATTATTAGAAATAAGTTAAAATTGTTATTAAAGTATAATCTTGGCAAGGAATATCCATAGCCTTAGAGTTTTAAATCCTTATTTCCTTCTTGTGTGCTTTGGTCTTTTGTAATGGAAATATATTTTAATATAAATTAGCTTCTTTTCTTATGAAAAATATTTCAAAATAAATCAACTCACTTATAATTCGTTGCTTTAAAAACAACACTTTCAATTCTATAACTTTCCAGAATATAATATCTATATTCCTTTACCCAAATCACCTGGTTAACTAACCTTGATAGTTAGCACTTAAAGATGCCATCAACATCACTGCACTAATTTCGAACCCGTTTGTAAAGCACTTTGTGGGTTTATATTTTGCATTAATTTAATTTAAATCAATAACAGGAAAATGTCAAAAAACCGCTTACCACAAATCAAAGAGCATAGACCGCAAACATTCTGCCACGGTACAGCGGAAGCGGCGTAAGGGAAAGTCCCATTGTGGAAAGTACAGGAAACCGCAGAAAACTCGAGTTATCACCGAGAGGAAACCAGTCACGTTTCTCCCAAGTCCCTCTCTCTTTTTTGTCACTGTCTCTCTTCGGCAGAGAGACAAATAAATATACATACATATATAGCGTAGGCAAATATCCCATATATCAGATCGATCTACCGGCAGCAGTTGGCTTTATCCAGTGCTTCTCGCTTCTCTCAGTCGCGAACAAACAGCCGGCGGTGCGGATTCAATCCGACATATACTCTCGCCATCTCGATCCGCCTTGGCTATATAAACAGAAATCGTGGCCGACGTCTGGCATTCATTGTTTGCTCATTGCAGGCAAATCAACTCTTTCCCAGCAGGAAGGAAAAAGGATATCAATATAGACTTTTCATTCACCATTCAATCGGGTTCCACCAGAGACTACGTGTGTGTGTGTGTGCCTCGTTTTTTAGTGACTGTGTGTACTCTACTGTTTATCAAAGCAAAGTAAAATTTAAAACCAAACAGCGACAAATACAAACAAAGACAGTTGAGATAAACAAAACATCGCAAAACGTGCGCCAAAGCTAAAACAAAAAAAAAGAAGAAAAAGTTGAAGAAGAAGGGAAAAATTTGACCATAAATTTTCCCATTTCCTCACGTAGAACAAAAGAAAGCAGCATCGACATTTTTGCAATAAACAAAAAGGCCGAAATTCGCCATGGAAGTGCAGAATCTGCCCGATCAGGCTCGGATATCGAGCATCTTGCTCGACTCCAGATGTGGGGTAAGTGCGAGGCGCCCCTGACCTCCACCCACGGCTCACCTGTTTGCGGTGAAAAGGTCTATAAATACAAGTGGTGCACCCAATAATAGATAATGCTTGTATGTATATTCGGGTGAGGTCTCTCTCTAAGTGAGAGAGTAAACAAAATTGGAGGGCGCTTTCCTTGAGCGGGGCCAGGCACCAGCGACTTTGCAATTTAGCATGTGCGAATTTTCCAAATATTTGCCCGATCGCCTTTATTGCCCAGTCCGCTAGTTCGCTATTTTAGCCTGGCATTTATAGCAGATAAGTCAATGAAACGTGATTTTATATCAGACTATATACTCATTCCCCAAGGCGCCCCCAGAAGAGGCACTGAGGGAAATAGCTTGGTCTCTATAAATGCAATGAATTAATTAATAGACCAAACTCTAAACAATATCCAATATAAAATATCTTAAAAATCTCTATAAAAACTAGAACTCTTTAAATGCAAATCTGTTAAAAATCTTGTAATGTTTTAATATGCGAAAATCAAACATGGATTTACTCATATATTAATTTGTATTAGCAAAGGAATATACTTTTCAAAAGAAGTTTAAACACTTGTTTATGGTAACCAAATAATTAGTTGATCAAAAATGATAAATACGTCAAAATTTCAATGGTAAACATATTTGTATTGAACAAAAAAAGCACATGACTTACGGACAATAAATTAATATTTTTGTTTAAAGAGACGATGACGACAAAATATCTCACAGTTTTAGGGGTACACTGGGAACGACCTCAGTTTCTGTTGGATAATTTATGGCTCCTGTCGTTGGCAAACATGAAAAACAGAAAATTTAGTAAATATATAGAGCCGTGGAAATTGGAAATGAAAATGGAAATGCACGGGAATGGCGGCATCGTCATGTGTACATGAGCTGTATACAAAAAAATATACAAAAACAAATTAAAATGCCTTTCATCTAAGAGCCATAAATAATAATGTTTTTCTATAGCGTCGAACGCTTTTCCCGCACCAAAACCCCTCAGTCCTCAGTCAGAGACACTTCTTAACGATTTGTTTTGTCTGCCTTCCACAGCTGAACGACTTATATCCGATTGCCCGGCTGACACAGAAAATGGAGGGATCGCTTAATGTGTCTGGGAAGGATAAGGATGCGGACTGCCCCTATACCATCGAACTGATACGACCGGAGGATGGTGAGGCTGTGATAGCCATGCTCAAGAAATTTTTCTTCAAGGTAAGCACCTGCAACCGCAACACTTCCCACAATTTTAATTGCATTGTATTCGGTTTTGGGGGAATTTCTATTCGTAATTCGCTTGCATATCATGGAAGTTAATCAAGCTGAACACCTGTGCTTACCAATTCGGGAGCCCACATTTTATATCTTCCATTGTCGATTTAAATAATGTTTCCAGAGAATTTCAATTAGCGTCGACCGACCACGTGCCCCTTTCCGATCGACTTAATTAGGCTTTGATTTCAGCTCGAAATTCGCACAGTAAAAGTTGAATTAATTAAGTTATACCTTATCCCAGGCCTCAGATCTCTCCCGCTTAGAAGTCGGGAATATTGGTATTGGGTTTCACATGGAATCGTAGGTGTATATTATTTGGCTGTCGTGAGGTGGACTGGCAGCCCGGTGACATGATCCATGTCATGGCTAACTCTTTCCAGCTGGTCTCGCCTCACGACTCTTGGCGACGATCTGAAATCAATATACTCGCTGAGAGTTGATCTTGGACTTGTTCAGACTTCAATGCTCTGATGCCCACCATTGAAAATGGCGCCCTCCCTCTTAGACCCAAGACCTATGGACACTTTCAAGACCTATATTTAGTAGTTTATAATGGCCAATGTGGAATTAGTATTCATGCCACGCCTCTAACTGAGCCAAGCAGCAAACCGCCGCCGCCGCCGCCCTCTGGCAATATGCAAATCGAGTTCCGTTCGCTCGCAATTCTCCAACTGTCTCTATAAATTATTAGAAAAATCTTGATCCAGCGAATGCGTGCATTAATCATTTGCATCGAGATCGTGTCGCTTCGTAATTACGATGGTAATTTGTTTGGCTGTTTAATGGCTCCTAAAGATCGTCAGATTATGGATCAATTTGGGGTGGGATAATGGGTACAAATTAATACACAAATTGAGTGACTAATCTGTTTTACAGGATGAACCCCTGAACACCTTTCTCGATCTCGGCGAGTGCAAAGAGCTGGAGAAATACTCCCTGAAACCCCTCTCCGACAACTGCTCCTACAAGGCTGTGAACAAGAAGGGTGAAATTATTGGCATATTCCTCAATGGCTTGATGCGACGTCCGGTAAGTTTGCATTCCCTAACTATAACACCTCAAATCTAATTCAAGTTTATCCCTTATTCCCTGATCAGTCCCCCGACGACGTGGTCGAGAAGGCAGCCGATTCGTGTGAGCATCCCAAATTCAAGAAGATTCTGTCGCTAATGGATCATGTTGAGGAGAAGTTCAACATTTTCGATATATATCCCAACGAGGAGCTGATTCTGGACGGCAAGATCCTGTCGGTTGATACAAACTACCGGGGTCTGGGCATCGCCGGTCGCCTCACCGAGCGCGCTTACGAGTACATGCGCGAGAACGGTATTAATGTCTATCATGTTCTCTGCTCCAGCCACTATTCCGCCCGGGTAATGGAAAAGCTGGGCTTCCACGAGGTGTTCAGCATGCAGTTTGCGGACTACAAGCCACATGGAGAGGTGGTCTTCAAACCGGCCCTTCCGCATGTCGGCATCCAGGTGATGGCCAAGGAGCTGGGCGGTGCGAAGACGGCGCAAACGAAGCTCTAGAGAGCCTCGTGCTTCTTTGGATTTTGTACTATGTGATTCTTTAGTTAGTAGTTCGGTGGCGGGTTCCAGGTAGTTCCATGTCAAGTGTCTCCACTTTCAATTCAAAGTAGTAGTAGCATAAACAGCCAGTACAAGTTACGTATTTATCTAATTTAATTAAGTGTTTCGTGTTTAGAAAAAGCTCAAAAATAAATCAAAAACCATTGTCTCTAAACCTTGCTTAGCGCCTGACACGACGAGAGTTCCGGGTGCGCCTGGCGGCTGTTCTCTTGGCCGCCTGCTTGCTCTTGGCGCGTAGGTTTCGGTTGGTCTTGATCCTGCTGCTGGTCCCGGAACTGCGCGAACTGGTGCTGCTTGTCGTCGCATTCCCGACACTGATTCTCCTCACGACCGTGTATTGCAAGTTGGAGACTGTCACTCTTTTTGGGATACCAGCGTCAGAGGTGGAGGCGTTGGCGCTTTGCGCCTGCGAAACATCTAGCCAGCAGCTGAAGACCACTAGACAGATGGCGGCGATCAAAACAATTGTCTTCATGTTGATAGGAGTTTGGTAAAGCTTGGAATATGCTTCGATGGACGTTATTGGAGCGCTTAAATAGTCGCAGCACTTATTTGTACAGTTTGCAAATCGCTGACGAAGGCCGATGAAATTGTTTAATTTTAGCAAAACACTGAAGCATTTGCTTTGCCTTGAACCAAAACTAAACTATCAAAAGTATTTCTATCTATATATCCGCTTTAACGTTTAATTTGGTCTTTTGTCCATAAAAACAAAAAAAAAAAAGAATTGTTATTTACTTGGTGCTTGTGGCCTGGCTGAAGGGGTTCCGTGACATACGATCAATCATACGGCGCACTTGCTCCTCGTTGCCATACTTCTGAGCATCGGCCACGACGGCGGCGTGGTGGGAAACGGCTTCTGCCGAGATTTCGTCCTGCATCTGGCGATTCAGCTCGAAAGAGTGCCTACAAGAAGTAAACACCAGCGTCAAGTCATCGGTTCGATATTCCTTGAAAGAGATACTCACTTGACGGACGCGAAGCCAAAGAGGGCGCCAAACACTCCAAGAGCCATTAATACCAAGGCCACTCGCCAGTTGGAAACCCTGTTCACTCCCTTAATGCCATAGTAGGGTCCCGGATTTGGATCGTAGTTCGGCCTCACTTCCCAAAGGGGACTGCTGCCATCCTCGCCCACGGGACTGCGATCAGAGCGTTGCGGTTGCCACAGAAGGCTGTCATCATAGTCGCGCCTTCTCTGCGGCTTAATAAGGGTCCTATAGGCCTCGGATATCTGAACGAATCGGGCTGTGCGTTCGGGACTTGTTGCATTGCTCAGAACGTCGGGATGGTACTGAAGGGTAAAGAAAGTTACTAATAAATTCAACACGGATCTCTAAGTGAACCCTACCAGCTTGGAGAGCTTAACAAAAGCGTTGCGGACATCCCTGCTGCTGCAGTCGTTACTTATATTCAGCACCTCATAGTGGGTTTCCGTCTTTTTCGACTTTTCGTGGGAGAAACTGCGCATTTGGATGGACATTAACTTTACATAACACCATGCAGCCAGCGAGTCCTTACTTACGCGCACAGATGCCACTAGTCCTGGGCGACAGTACGAGTCGGAGCATCTTATATACTTATAAATTAAATTCTTATTTTGTTGGAGAAAACATAATTTCGAGAGATTAACCAAAACAAAACAAACTGCGAAAAGGCGACTTAGAACAGCTGTTCTGTTTTTCTCGAATGCTAACCAACACTAATTTTAGAGTTGCCACAGTATGGGATCGATAAAATTAGCAATCAAATTCGAGTCAGTTTGATATAATGTATAATACAGGTGACAGACATCGATAGTCACCATGAACATCGATACATCGATGTTTCTCGTCTTTTGAGCACTGCCGCGTCTATATTGGTGTATATCCCCTATTCGGTCACTCTGGCAACTAGAAAATAACAAAAAATAAAAATGAGCGGTGCTAAGAAAGCCTTTGAATTACAGCGCCAGGTGCGCCAAAATGCACGAGAGTACGAGAGCTCTGTGAAAGACTTGTACTCGTGGGAGCAGGACATCAAGAAGAAGGAGGAGGAGCTCAAGAAATCGCCAGCCACTGTCGCCGCCAAGGTAAGAGCTTGAATTTGCCGCACACTCGTGCGCCGCGCTTCCCTGTCATGCTCACAAACACATACAAACAATACAATCCTTGATTCCAGAACCTTCCTGTGCGTAGCCATGTCCAGGACGCGACAACCAAGGCGGGAAAGGAGAGTCCGGGCAGCTCGGCGGCCAGCACGCCTACGGAGAAGCAGGATCTACCCATGGATCCGGTGGCGCAGCAGCACAAGAAGGCCAATGACATCAAGGACCGTGGCAACAATTACGTAAAGCTGGCGGAGTACGACAGAGCCATTGAGGCGTACACAGAGGCCGTCAATGTGTATCCCCATGATCCCGTTTACTACATAAACCGAGCTTTGTGCTACATCAGACAGGAGCGGTAGGCGAAGTTTGTTTTTGTGAGATTTAGAAGATTTCACTTAAACTTATGTTTTTCAGCTATGACAACTGCGTGGAGGATTGCGAGGCGGCCATTCAGCTGGACAAGCTTTGCGTGAAGGCCTACTACCGTCGAATGCAAGCCAACGAGTCTCTTGGCAACAATATGGAAGCTCTCAAGGATTGCACGACAGTGCTAGCCATCGAACCGAAGAACATAGAGGCCAAAAAGAGCCTGGCTCGCATTAATGACCGCCTACGCAAGAATGGTAATTGAGCTTAACTGGGTAATATTGGTTAAATTAATGCTTAATTCGATTTCAGCAACCAAAGGCGGTCCAAACTTCACTCCTGATCGCCCTGACCTCATTGACATCTTGCCTCTCGATAAGCCCGTCTTTAAGCGATCCAAACAACCCATGCGTCGTGTCCCGATTGTCGATATAATCTCTCCTCGAGCCGCCAGTGAGGAGACCAAGAACTTGCGCATCTCAGATGAGGATATTGACAAGATCTTCAATAGTAACTGCGGTTCATTCGAGCAGGTGAAAAATAAAGAAGTAAACCAGAAGGAAACACCACCCAGTGCCCCCGCAGATGCTCACGCTGTTGAGATTATTAAGGAGAAAAAGAAGGACATAAATATAAGTCCTCCCAAGGCAGCCTCAAAGATTGATGTGGCCAAGGATGAAAAGAAGGAAATTAAAAGTGCGCCAAAAGCAACGCCAGCTGTTGTCGAGACCCCCAAAATTCAGAGCACTGTTGCCTCCCCGCCAAAGCCTGCCCGAACTCCCAGCGTAGAATCCAAGGCGATAATAGTAGAGGAAACTCCACAGAAAACTGAAAAGATTGAAAACGTTGCCAAGAAAATTAAAGACTCACCGAGTCCCGTAGAGGTAAGACAGCTTAAAGCTTAGATTTGATAAATTAGTAAACCGTTTTTCTTAGCGTTCATTACCACCGCTACCTTCGGGAACAGCTCAGTTTCATGTGACCTGGAAGGAACTGACTGCTTCACAGAAATACCAGTATTTGAAGTCCATTGAGGTTGCTAATCTGTGTAAGATCCTGGGAGCCGGCTTCGATTCTGCCATATTCACGGAACTGCTGCGCACCGTTCACGACTTCTACATACCAAATAAGGAGCCAACCACGGCCGCTGTCCTGCTTGAGGTCAGCAAAAACGATGAATTCACCATTTTGGCCAAGCTCATGTCAGCTGAGGAAAAGAAAGGTATGCATTCAGTATTCCAATTGTACGATCATCCCTATTTCGCTCTATTTTTTCTAGTGGTAACATCTATTTTAAGCGACATCAAAAACTGGCCCAACCAGAACTCGGCGGTGCTGGATAAGCTCCTAAAGGAGTATCTCTAACGTGGTCTAAACTCTCTTAATGTTTCAAGTTTAAATGTACTTATGTTGCTTCAAATTGTTAGCTCAAAAAACCGAAAAAATACAAATAATACATGGAGGATGTACAAGATGTTAAACACAATGCGAAATGGATTTGTTATTTGTATCAGATGGAATTGTGTGTATATTAGTTACGCTAGAGCTAGAAATGGTTTGGTTCTTTGGAGCGTATTAGTTACGCCAGTTTGGGAATTTCTCAATCACATGACTCATGACAAGAGGTATGGTCAGATTTAGGTTTAATATCGGCATTAATTTAAAATGCAAGAGAAAACCACTTGAGCAAACAAACTGTTCTTGGTTCATTTCCTACGCCTGCCCGCCTGTCGGGCAATGAATATTGAATAACAAATTGAGTAATATGAATTAGTGTAATTTACATAAATCAGTGTATTAATTCAATCTGCGAAGCCACCTAAAATGGGTTCTCTCCCAGCAAGAACAACAACTCCATTAAGCGACGTTAAGTTGAAAGCGTTGATCAGTCGGGGGACACGCACACGCATGCGTATCATTACAGCGACACCCCGTCGAAGGAGAACATCCCCCAGCAGAGCCGGAGGGGTTCCGGCAGAGACACACATACACACACAGCAGCCTCCGATCCCAGCTAGAATCTCTGGAGGCGAACGCGGGCTGCGGCGGTACGCTAATTGCGTGAGAGCTGCACTAAGCTCAGGGGCCGCCGGGGTTTACTTAAGCTCCATTGTTGCTCTGCTGCTAGTTATAATTTAATTTACATTTTTCTTAACAAACGCTCGCTGTGATTTATCCAATTTCTCGTCGAGAGAGAAGCCCCGCGAGAGCGGTATTCCAGCAGAGTTGCCACACGGCTTGGCATTTATATTTTATTTTTGAATAAAGGGTTTTAAAATAAATACAACAAATCACCAATTATATATACGATGTACGGTTTTATTTTATTTTACAGATTTTGTTTCTTAAAAATATACAAATCAAATGCCAATGACTGCTCCTCGTTATTTACGATTTTAGATTAGAAAACGCATTCATTCAAAAATCAGTTAAAGTACGAAAAATTAAACAGACTATTATTAAAAATAGCAAGACGACCTTAAGGCTTATAACGAAAAGAATAAATAACTCTTTAATAAGGTAAAACTTATAACTAATTTTAAACATAAATGTTACTTCATATGCTACTTAAGTTCTTTGCTTTATCATATAAACACGTAAGGAAATTTAAAGTAAAAATAATATATATAAAATAACTAACATTAAATGTTTTCGTGTTTAAATTATTATTATATAGACAAACCGCTTATAAGAACCTAACGCAGCAAATCGATTGTCTTTTTACTTGTATATATTAAATACGTAAGAAAATGCAAAAAAAAAAAAACTAAATTAAATAATAATTTATAGGTTTCAACAATTCTATAAATATGATTAATCGTTGTTTATCCAAAAACAAGTAGCTATCACTGAGTCTTTGATAATAACAGTTCTGTGAGTTAAGGATAATGAAGCAAATTACACAAATTCATTTTTAAATAGTATTATACAGAGTTTAAAACTATGCTTTTCATAGTTTTTTTTAAATTTCAATAAGTTAAAGAGTTTATGTTTTATAGATTTGGAAAAAAAGAGATTTCCTAGGTCCATTAGATCGATGAAAACTATTTCAGAAAATTAAACTCCGTAGAAATCAATTCTCTTATTTTGTAATTTAAAATATTTACTAATTTTTTTTATGGTAATCAGGAATTTTATTCGAATATTTCCAACTTAGTGGCAACCCGCAAAGCCGCGCTTCATTGATCAGAGCAAAGATTTGCAAGAGAGCCGGCTGAGCGGCTCTGGAGTGTGCGATCGGCTCAGCCAGTTGCTGTCTATACTCCAACGGATTTGGATATTGTTGCTCCGCCAGCGAGAGTGGATAATCGTGGAGAAATAAAAACAGAAACCGAAACTGAAACTGAAACTGAAACGGAGAAGCAATCGTAAACCGCGAACTTAGTAACAGTTGCATCGCGTATACGAAGCGTGAAACACAAACGACAAGCAACAAAAGTACAAGCGGCGAGAGAGTGCAGCAACAAATTCGTAAACAATCAAAGTAACGGCGTGTTGTGCGAGTGTAAGTGCCAACGACAGTGTGTGTGTGAGAGAGTGCGACTAATTTAAACGCGACTTTAGTTAAAAATAAGACTCTTTATTAACGAAATGCAGGGGAAATCCAACGCCCCCGCCGCGCAATAACACAAAAAGAAAGCAGAAACTGGATAAAACTAAGCAAGTTCTGAAATAAATCCAGTAACAGTAACCGAGTGCTAAACGAGTGATTAGGTGGCGTATACGTAACCCCGAATCTTGTCAAATCTGTAAAGAATCAGGCGAACAATAGCCAGTCAGCCAGCCAGTCTCCCACCAAAAACACAAAATAAAATCAAATCAAATAAATAAAAAAAAAACACAAACTGAACGTAGTTCACCTTTTCCATTCAGCCAATAACAATAACATTCGGCCAGAAGAATGCGGCAAAAAAACGAGGGGTTTCTGTACGATTTGTTTTTATTTTTGTTGCTTTTGCACCTACACTATTTATTTACTTTGTTGTCAAGTGTGTGTCTGAGTGTGAGTGCTTTGTTTTTGCCGTCGCGACTGCACGTCTTCATTTCATTAGTTCGATCATTATGCTCCGGCCACTAGACAAGCCGGAGATTACGGCTCCGCCACTTCGATCTTGGCCAGTTTGTCCGCTGCCGCTTCTTCCACTTCTTTTTCTCGTCTCAACCTGTGCCAAGCGCTAAACCAAAATAAAAAAATCGTATAAAAAATACACACAAAAACAAAAAACAAGCGAGAAACGGAGGCTTGGTTTTATGACCGAAGATGGGAATACCTTAAAAGTGTATCTAAAAGATTTTTCTGAAATATCCAAGTGGTTCTATTAACTAATAGGCAGCAAGGCAGCTTTTTGTAATATTATTTCAATATAATGGTAAATTAAATTTATTATAAAATTAAAAAATAATTAAATTTATTATAAAAAACAACATAAACCAGGCATTGCTAGAGGTTAAAGTTAGCAACTCTTTTTACACAAATAAAGACTCACGATAAGAATATCGAAATCTTTTCCAGTTTCCGCTTCCTTTAAAATGCTTATATTTTAAAATTTCCCTCTGTTAATTGGCTGTTAACTTCCAAACGATATCACACTATGGACTCAGATCCTTAAAAATCTATTATTTTAAAGGACTTTTCTTTAACTTAACTTAGAAAGCATAAAACACATGCATTTGCCCATCGAAAATAATTATTAATTGCGTAAATAAAGAAGAGAAATTAAAATATAGTCAAGTTATTATCTCAAAAAGATTTTTAAAACCATTTCCACTCTCAAAATTTTAACACCTTAATAAAGGTTAAAGAAAGTATGCGTAGAAAAGGATCCACTTTATATATGTATGTGTTTCTATGTAGAATCAATAGAAACCTCTTTGACCTTATAGCTAATATCACCCTCTCGGAGAGTACGAAAAAAACGGGGTAAAAAAATAAAGGCAAAAAAGCAAAAACGTGTCCCATAGCCCAAAAAGACGCTCACAATACAGGCAGCAGCATCAGGCAAAGACATAAAAGTCAACCGGTCGGTTGGGTTTCGAACGGCAGCTACCAGCAAAAGCAAAAGCAACAGTAACAGTAACAGAAACAGCAACTACAACTCGCCTTGTAGCGGCGGCAGCAATAATATGTAAAAGCTGAGAAAAAAACAGCCAATGCAAAAACGCCAAAGATACTTATAAATAACAATCTAGATGGCGAAGAAGCAGCCAGCCAGCGAGCCACTCGAGGCTGAAAGCTGTTTAGCATAGTTTATTTTTTCGCTAATAGGCGGGGGCGGGAGCTCAGGGGGATCCGGACCCGGGGGCTGCTTGGATCCGTTTAGCTGGAAACCCGAAAAGATGCTAAATATGCGATCAATAACAAATGGAATATTCCATTCCTTTGGGGCGCTTGTACGGACTTTCTTTTCATTTCTTGCATCCGTTAAATTTACAATTTAAATTAAATCCTAACATCTAGCGCTAGTTTTAGCAGCTTCCATTGTTGCACTTGCCTTAAGATCAATGGCACATCACACTCGTTGACTCACACTTATGTGACGCACTTCCGTCTAGACTATAAAGAGATCATAAATGGTCCATAAACCTCATAGCTGAGATTTTTTGCGAAATCCATATGGCTTTAGGGTTCGATCACTTGGCTCAGATATTTGGCGATATAGTTAGGCACCTGATGCTAATTCAATTCGATAATTGCCACCCTGCTGACGCCTTTCCCAAAACCCATCTACACATTTTGATGTCTAAACTCGGTTTTGGGCTTGGCTTTTTGGCCAAATTAAAGTCATGGGTTCAACGATAAGTTGATAAACCAATTCTGGATGCCTGACTGACTAGCTGGCTGGCCAAAGAGAGTAGCCCCCTAAGCGTAATTGACTTGTTTGGCTGAGTGAATCCCATGCCAGCAGCAATTAGCACTGTTGCTGGTAGCAGCAGCAGAAGCAACAATAAATACTTGTAGTGAATTTTATTCATATTTATGGCTCAATTTGATCGTTGCTTACGTGCAATCTGTGGCGGTTTTTGGCATTTAATTTCGTGTTTCAAACAGCCGCACGCCACACGAGAGCGCGAGAGATGTGTCGTACAAAACTCTGTGGATATTTTGCAGATTTATTGAAATGCTAATAAAACGCTAAATGCCCCGGCATGATGATGAGACAGAATTCCGTCGAATGCCAAAGCCATGGCAGCCTCAAGGATGAGCTTAGGCCACGCCAAAGTCAAAGTTAAAGAAGTCAAGCGCGGTGCCCTGCAAAGTTTGGATATCAGCAAACACAGATATTAACTTCCGACTCCGTAAACAACAATCAATAGCCGACAACTACAGGTTTTTTCGTAGTTTTTTTTTCTTTCTTGTCTTGGCAGCATCTTCAAGTGAAACTCTCGTCACGAGCATGAGTCTGGTTTTTTTGGCTCGCTTTTTTGGTTTATTTTTAGTTGCCCTGCCGCAACGGCGTCCGACTAAATCAAATCACTTGAGCATTTCATTATATTATTATAGGAGGAAGCGTTCTTTATCTGACGCGCCAGTAGCCCCAGGAGATACTATATATCTGTATATGCATGTGTATGTAGTACATCTATATGAAAGCCAGGGCGTTAATTCAATCAAAATCATTGCGACAAAACAGCCATGACAAAGCGGAGGCAAAGTCTGCCTTCGAAAACCCACTTTTAAGTAATCTCAGCATTATGCGATCGTATAAGGGAAGAGTTAAAATCGAACCCAAGGCCTGGCCCTGTTTAATTACAGCCCCAAATTAGTTGAAAAGATATTTTATTTGCTATTAAAATAAACAAAACTGATATTGCGTATACGCCACGTATGACGATATCTTATTTTAAATGGATAATCTTTGCTTCTGTGTTAGGTATGATATTAGAAGTGTGTTTTATTATGATTTGTAAAACTATTTCATTTTATTCAAAAGATATTTCATTTGATCTTATAATAAAAAAAGTTGATATTGCGTATACGCCACGTGTGACGATATATTAGTTTAAATTGATATTCTTTGCTTCTGTATTGGGTATGACATTAAAAATGCGAATACAAATTGTAAAGAATATAAAATGGTTTTAAAATATGTATGTTAAACTCTTAAAACAAGAACAGAAGTTAATAAATCTTACTTTTTATTGCATACTTAAGAGGGTCTTTGGGCCAGCATTCCATGCTCATCGACAAGGCCCTTTCATCATTCATTTGCATTACTAAATAGCTCAGTTAAAGCTATTTTCATTACACATTTTATTAGTAGTCGAGTGTCACGTGTTGATGCAAATTATTTACTGCTGCATATAGCATGGAATCCGTGTTGTTTTCTGACCCCCACACCAAGCGGATAAAGCTGCTGCCCAGACGCCGCAAGTTCCAGCTGGAAGCTCGATTCACTTATCTGGCATTTATGTTTGTTTTTGTTTTCTTTTTCTGCTTTTTGCGTTGTTTTGCAGCCAGACTTTTTAGATATAAATTCTGAGAATATATGCATAAATGTATAAATGACGATTTGATTGCGGAATTAAAGAAAGATTTGTAGAGAATTAGGAAAATTAAATGAGATATCTAACCCTTGACAAATTTTTGTGCCACCGTTCTTAAGAAATTTAAAACTAAAAACTGATTTTGAAACTTTCAACTTAATTCTATTTTATCTTAAACATAACATTGGTTTGTTTTTTTTTTGGCAAACATATTTAAAATATATTATAAAACATATATCCAGAACAGAATATACATCAGAACATTAGAATAGGCCTTATCGCTAGACAACAACCAAGTAGCATTTCATTTACAGCCCTGAAGGCTTCCCTCAAATATAAACATTCGCAGAAAGTAAATGTGACTTTCAACGGAATTGTGAAATATTAGGAAAATGTCTCCAACTACTACTGTGTGTTCTACTTAATAAATGCGATAAGCAAAGTGTATATTCGAATTGCAAAATTTCTACAAAGTTTACTTCGATGGCATGTGAAGTTTGAGCTTGACCATGGTCACATCTCTCTGATTTATATTTGCAGGTCCGACACCAGTCATGCTGTAGCAACGTGAACAGGATGCAGCTGAAGTAACTTGAATATGGACCTTGATTTCTTAGGCCTCTGTAAGTACACAATAAGCGAATTCCACTATTACCGATTACCACAAGTGTTTAGATGCATATACGTATGTAACATATTTATATATATTTTTGGCAAGGATAACAAATTCAAATTCAAATGGGGTCCTTGCTGTGGCCCCGTTGAAGGCTAGGCCCGACTTGCCTCGTCATTGACAACCAAAGTGGCTACCGAAAATAGATATAAACAGCAAGGGAGCCTTAGATTGGGATTATTATACCCTTAGTGAGGTATAGGGATATAGCATTTGGCAACCTTAAATGTAGAATTTATCTTTTTATACCCTTGCAGGGTATTATAATTTCAGTCAGAAGTTTGCAACGCAGTGAAGGAGGCACCTCCGACTATATAAAGTATATATATTCTTGATCAGGATCAACAGCCGAGTCGATCTAGCCATGTCCGTCTGTCCGTCTGTCCGTCTGTCCGTCTGTCCTTCTGTCCGTCTGTCCGTCTGTCCGTCTGTCCGTCTGTCCGTCTGTCCGTTTCTACGCAAACTAGTCTCTCAGTTTTGAAGCTATCTAAATGAAACTTTGTAGTTAGCCTTCTATATACTCTCACTCGTATATATGTCGGAACGGGCCGGATCGGACGACTATATCATATAGCTGCCATAGGAATGATCGGAAAATTTTCACAAAATTTTTTTAACTTTTTCAGTTTTCAATAGAAGTGGATCAAATTTCAGATATAGCCATTTTACTATACTCTACAATTTTGCATAAAATTTTATGAAAATCGGACTACTATATCATATAGCTCCCATAGGAACGATCGAGAAATTAATACAATTAAATTTATAACTTTTTCAGTTTTCAGCTGATTTTCATCAAATTTGAGGTATAGCCATTTTGTATTAGTCTGAAATTTTGTGTCAAATTTCATGAAAATCGGACGACTATGTTATATAGGTGCCATACAAACGATTGTTTGATGTAGGGGAAAAATGCAAATCTGCGAATGTAAAACTGCAAATATAATATGTATAGGTGAATGAAATGAAAGCAGGTATTACTTCATTTTTTTTAACACAAATAAATATAATTTATATTGTTGAGATTCCAAGTCATAGAAGTTCTATCTGCAAGGGTATATAAACTTCGGCGTGCCGAAGTTAGCTTCCTTTCTTGTTTATAGTTATGTTATATACTTCCAATTATAAGTATTTAGTTTGGTTAGTTAAAAGCAAAATTAAGCAAGCTATTAAATTCACATTGGTAAAAGATGATTTAATGTGCTGTTTAAACATCGATATTTTGGGGCAATTTATTTATTTTTATCTAAAAATACATCAAAAGGTTAGATTTTCGGATTTTTCCTAATTTGTTATTTAGACTTAAATTGTGATTCAGATTATATACGAATTCTTGCAATCATTGGCCATGACATGCCCTCAAAAAGATTTGAAATATATAATTTTTTTTAAGAATTAAAATCTTTATTTATTGATACAATTTTGGTAAACAAATGAAAGTTTAACTCAGCCAAAAAAGCATCAATTTCAATTCGGTAAGCTGTTCTGTGAAAGGTTTTATCAGGAAAATAAGTCTGCATACAGAATAAAAAGATTTGAAATATTGAAAAGTTTTTTTTTTTAATTTTTGACAACTTAACGATTTTAACCCCTTATAAAATTTTGAAAAATTGGCGAACAATTTTTTTGTCAACTTTTTTCCCAATAATTTGATATTAAATAACTAAAATTTAAATTGCGATTCGGAATATATATGAGTTTTTGCAATTTGGCCATGAAATGTCCCAGAAAATATGGATTTTTGAGGGGGACATAAAGTCATAATTTATAGATATAAGTTTGTTAGACAAACTAAGTTAAAATAATGTAATTAAAGCCAAGCTAATCCAAAAGTTAAACCCAAGTTAAAGACCGAGATCTCTCTCTTTCTTTCTGTAGAATTAGAGTATTTTCGATCCCTGCTCGAGGAACTGCATCTCTAACACCCACAAACACAGTTACAGATAGCCTACGGAATGAGACAATCAGGATATATATATGATAGCTGGGGAATCGTTTAATATATTTTTCTGTACGATTTGCTATGGAACAACTCCCCCTCCGTGGGATTTGCATGCCACTTGTACGGCTCACGAAACGAGCAGGTTGTTTGATCAATAACACGACCAACTCGATTGACTCGCCTGGCGGCGGGACGGAAGCCCAAATATTTGCACACTGGTTATGATACCGCTGCCGCTGCCCTCACTCAGTCAGTGCTCAGATATTTTCTATCCGCATCCGACGTACCGCCAAGTGACTAACCAAATAATAGAGTTGCAAAGTTACAAAGTTACATTTGAGATTGTGAAAACAGTTTTGCTTCGCGGATAACCTGGGGGGATGCATTTGTAACAATATTTCTTCTATTTATTATTTACATATCCCAGAACAATTGTGTAAACAATAGTTTGTGCTTTGATTTGAATTTGAAGCCCTGCTTCTGCTGCTGCTGCTGCTGCTGCTGCTGGTACTTGGTGGTGTTGCTAATGTTACTAGTGTTGCTGCTTTTATTCCAGCAATTTGGTTTCGTTTTCATCTTCGCTTTCATTGGTTACCATGCCGATGTATTAGTTGGACTATGGCTCCAGCTCAGTTATCCAGTTGAGCTTTTAATTTTTTAATCACTTGGAGCACCCGCCCCCGTTGCATTTTCGCTGCTCAGCGGATTGTGAAGAGTGCATCAACCGTATGCTCGCTCATACGTGCGTTAGATAATTGTTTTCTCAGATACAAGATACAAAATGCAGCAGCAGCAGAAGTAGACGAAAACCTCAATTCAAAAAACCCATTTGTGTTTCCATGGATGCTGGTTAGTCAGCTGCTAACTTGGCCATCAGTGCAGACGCTGCTAGTAGCCGCTGGCACTGAACGAAGTCCTTGTTGACTTCCCAACTCCTCCTGCGAACGAACCAACAAATTAATTATGGACTACCCCAAGACATTGAATGGTAAATGTAAATGTTAACATAATCCTCCCTCTGAACCGCGCTCGTAGGATCTATGCATAAATTACACAACAATTTATTTGGCACGTCAACAAATTCACTCGCTCCTCGGCTGGGCTTTTATCGATCAAACACAGACTGGGATTTTCAGGGCTTATCAATGTTGTGCGCTCCCTGTTTTTTAGAGTAACCCGAATCTGTTTTTCACATTTAACGGCAAAAATAATAATTATATTAATAATCTCTGCGTATGCCTGGTAAACGCCCCCACAAACACGTACGATATTTAATTTCTATATAAGGGGAAACTGAAATTTGTTTTCGCTGTCTGAGTCGTCGGACTTTGGTCTACTTTGGATGATAAAGAACTTATTTTGCCATTATTTAGATATTACTTTCATAGCAGTGTGCTTATTATTTACTTTCTTCATTTAATTTATCCGGCTTTCTAGACTTAAAACATATTTATTTTATTTTATTTGGCAAAGGCTAGGTGAATAAAAGGAGAGTTCTTTTGAAAACTATAAACCCTCTCAATATCATTTTTCAATAATTTATTTATTGTAACAACTTTAGTTTAATATGTTAAACAGTTAAGGAATGTAATTTTTAAGAATATTTCTAGGTAAGTTATAAGCTATAAAGTATATTTATATAGAAAACAAGAGAGATTATTTTATTAAGTTCAAGTTCAACATAAATAACTTGTATATTGTATAAATATATTTCTCAATGTGTCATATGATATAAAAAATTTAGATTGCAGTTTATCGGATTTAAATCTTATTTAATTTCAGATAAAATTAAACATCTAATAAAATCGTAATTCCTCTATGCCCACAGCCCCCCAAGATCTGGCAGACATACACAATGAAGGCATAGACAATCTGGATCTGCTGATGCAGGGAGACTTTGACGACAGCATTCAGTTGGGACACAATGACCATAACGGGCATCTGGCCCCCGGTGCTGGTGGTGGCACCCACATGGACTCTCCCCACACACCGCCCATGAACGGCTTGGATTCCGGACGGATGGGTCTAAGCACGCCGGTGTCGACACAGGTTCAAGCGCATGTGCATCCACAGTTGCCGGAGAGTCCGCCGGACTCCCAGCCCGCCTACAGTCCGCTGGGTGAGGCGCATGGTATGGCCATGCCGGGCCGTGAGCTGATTTACCCTGGACTAACGCACATGCAGCATCAGGGGAATCTGTTGCAGGCAGACCTAGGCCAGTACGCATCTCCTCCGCAGCAACAGCAGCATCACTTTGCCACTCCGCAAGCCGATGTGCGGGTGAAGCACGAAACCGGGCTCATAATGAATCCGGGGAACCTACTCTCCCAGCAGCAACAGCAACAGATGCAGCAACAGCAGCATCATCAACAGCAGCAGCAGCAGCAGCAACTCAGCGAGCAACAGTTTCTCCCACACCAGCAACAGCATCTGCAGCACCTCCAAGACCTGGGCCAGGACCAGATGCTCTACTACGACAATGCACTGGGAGCAGCGGGGATGTATGCGGCTGGGAGCTACCAGAACCTATCCACCTGCACGCTGACCTCGGCTTTGGGACTGGGTGACCGGGTCCAGGTGATCGGAACCAGCCAGCTGTCGCTAAATCGTGTATCCGCTCCCTCCACGCCCGTGCACTCGCTGTCGCGCAAGCGTAAGATGTCCACGCAGCTCGACTGTCCAGAGTTTTCGCCGGTGCCGAAGGTGGACGCTGGTCTGCGGATGAGCCCCCTGCGCGCCTCCCACCACTCGCTGGCCACGCCGACACCCACGCCAACGGCAGCAACAACGCCGGCACCCTCGCACTGTTCCGCCTCCGTATCGCCAGCCTTGTCCGCCGTTCATTCGCAGGCGGACAACAGCCTCGACGGACAGTCGAGCGGCGGTGGCGGAGTGGCTCAGGGATCGGGATCCGGGTCGGGTTCGGGGAGCGAAGCGGGAGATCCGACGGGAGGACAGTGCATCCGCTTCAATGCCTTCCAGCCGGAGCACTGGCACAAGCTCGTCGACCAGGACCTCCAGGAGCTGTCTGTGATCTACTACCGCGTGGACGCGGACAAGGGATTCAACTTTAGCGTCTCGGACGACGCGTACGTGTGCCAGAAGAAGAACCACTTCCAGGTTACTTGCCATGCGCGCCTCCAGGGCGATGCCAAATTCGTGAAGACACCGTCCGGCTTCGAGAAAATCAAATCCTTCCACTTGCATTTTTATGGCGTCAAGTTTGAGGCGCCCAATCAGACCATCCGCGTGGAGCAGAGCCAGTCGGATCGCTCCAAGAAGGCCTTCTATCCCGTACCGTAAGTAGATCTGTTGGGGATTGAAGATATATATTTTTTACGAAAAATATTCTTCCTACAGCATCGATCTCCAGAAGCACATCGTCAGCAAGATCACCGTCGGCCGACTGCACTTTTCGGAGACGACTAACAACAATATGCGCAAGAAGGGTCGTCCCAATCCGGAGCAGCGCTTCTTTCAGCTGGTGGTTGGTCTGCATGTCCATACAATCTCTGGAAACTTTCCCGTGGTGAGCCACGGCAGCGAGAAGATTATCGTGCGTGCCTCGAATCCGGGTCAGTTTGAGTCCGATGTGGATCTTTGCTGGCAACGCGGCCTAACCCAGGAGTCGGTGTTCCATGCCGGCCGCGTGGGCATCAACACTGATCGCCCGGATGAGAGCCTGGTGGTGCATGGCAACCTGAAGGTCTCCGGCCACATTGTCCAACCAAGTGACAGTCGAGCCAAGCAGGAGATCGGTGAGCTGGATACATCGGTGCAGCTTCGCAATCTGCAGAAGATTCGGATCGTGCGCTATCGCTATGAGCCGGAGTTTGCCGTCCACTCGGGGCTGCGGCGCGAGAGTGACACGCGGGAGATTGTGGACACCGGAGTGATTGCCCAGGAGGTGCGCGAAGTCATACCCGATGCGGTTCAAGAGGCTGGCAGCGTGGTGCTGCCCAACGGAGAGGTCATTGAGAACTTCCTGCTGGTCAACAAGGTGAGGAAGAGAGATTTTTCTGCCAAGCTTCTTGTAACACCTTATCCTTGTTGCAGGATCGCATCCTCATGGAGAATATCGGGGCCGTAAAGGAGCTGTGCAAGGTGACTGGGTCGCTGGAACACCGAATCGAACACCTGGAGCGTGCCAACATTGGCCAAAACAGCCAGCAACTTCGTGCCAAGGATCTGCTGGAGCCGCGCTGCCTGCTGCCGGAGCGTGGAGCCCTAAAACCCTACGGCAGCCGTCGTGATGGCTACGAGGTGTGCTCCAGTCGTTCCCTGCAGATCGTCATCTTCCTACTGATCATCGTGATGGCTGCTTGGTGAATATATATAGCTTAATATCTCCCAGAATGGAATTTAATTCCGTTTTTTTACAGTCTGGCGGCCGTGTCCACGCTGTACTTCGTGGAGCACAACAAACAGCAGCAGATGGACGGCTACCAGATCTTTGGGAATGGTCACATATTCCGTCCGGAGCCGGGATCGACGCACCTGAGCGATGAGGACCGCCATTACTTTCACAATTTGCATACGCTCTTCCGAAACAAGACCAACGGCGGATGGCCAGGTCGCATATATGCCACTAGCACCACACGTCCGCCCGGATATCGCCCCGGTGAGGAAGAGGCGGAGGAGCTGGCGGCTGTGATGACGAAGCCACAGGTGGCCGGTGCCCAGCAGCAGAGCCTCAAACATGCCTCCTTCACAACAACGGCACCACGTTTTAGTAATAAGACCCTAAACAGCAAGAAGGCAAAGTGGCCCATCTCACAGGAGACACTGCGTCAGGTGGCGGGTCAGAAGTTGCTCCAGACGCCGGCAGTCCATGTGCCTTCCTTGCCAGCAAAAACTCTTCCGCCGCCGGCTCTCAACGAGACGGCGGCCTCCACGGAGAAGCCACCGCAGGCCATTCCCTTGCCGCAGGACTTTGAGAATAACTCCATCGACATTGACGCCCAGCAGCAGCAGCAGAAGCAGTCGCAGCTGTCCCCTTTGAAGCTGGATGAACATATCGTGGTGGTGGGCACCATTGCCAGCCCCGCCTCCGAGGCATCATCTGACTCTGATCCTCCGACAGCTGTCGCGGGTCATGCCATCCGCAAGTTCAACACCGGCGCCGTGTACACGAACGTGTATAAGACGGTTTCGCCACCAACGGCCAACCTAGCCCTGACCACCAACAAGGTGAGCACCGAGCCCGCCCAGAGTCCGCTTTCCCAGGCGCTGGATGTGCCGCCGCCGGCGCTGCCCTTGCGCAATAGTAGCGACAATCCTGATGCCCTAGATCTTCAGAACCTGAGCAACACCAACGAGTCGGTGGACAATCCCATTACCGGAGTGTACGGCTTTGAGTACCAGGGAGCGGGTCTGAGGGAATCCAACCTGGGCAGGCGCTCGGCGAATCAACGCAGTCTGGAATGGATCAGGCAGAAGAGCATGAAGACGCCAATCTTTGGCCAGCCGGCCGAATGCAATGGGGATGAGTCTGTCAGCGACAATTGTCAGGTAAGGACTAGCTTCTTAATACCCATCTTGAATTGAAAATTAATCTTTTCACTCACCAGTCCGTTTGCTTCGAGGAACTGCCACCGACTCAACCGCAGCCGGATAATGTAGATGCCAATGTAAAGGAGCAGCATGTCGAGGACGATCTGCAATCGGCCGAGGAGCAGGAACCGGATCCTGATATAATCGAGGCGCAGCCACTTTCCATTGCCGTAGCCACTGGCAATGAGACCGAGTCGCAGACCGGTTTCCTTGGCAAGACCTCGCACAGTACCGATGCCTTGGCTAAGAAATCCCCACAGGAAACGGAAACGGTGCTGGCTAGCAAGGAAGATCCGGTATATCGTTTGGTTCAACCAGCAACAGCCCAGGAGCAGCTACCCAAAGCGGATGAGACGGTGCTGCCACCTTTCCAATTGGACTGTTGGAGCGTGGCCAGTTGCGTGCTGGCCGCTCAGTACAATCACAGCATCGATGTGGAGCAGTTCTGTCCGAGCACGGGTAGTTCCCTCAACATAAGCTATATAGTTCCAGTGTCGCGGTATCTCCAGGCCAGTAGCCTGGAACTCCATCTGAGGTTTGAGAAAGAAAACTCTCCTTTTACATGGAATTAAATCTGTTTTTGTTAATAGCTCCAACAAGCCGCTGCAGTGGTCCATCTGCATTGATGACGACCAGGCCAAGGCCAATGCCAATGCACAGCTCAACGAGGATGACGAGGCCCCGGTGAGCAGCGGGGTAAAGATCCTCAAGCAGCTGGGCAACAACAAACTCATTCTGGCATTGGACTTGCCAGCCCGCGGCTACTTCCTGCGTGACTTTATGCTGCGCGCCAGCCAGGACCTCGAGCAGGTGGGTTCCAATGACTTTAAAGCAAACTCCTTCAGTGATCCCTCAATAATCTCAGTTACAGCAAAAACTTTGCGATGACAGCGCTCACCTGGCGAACCCCATACTCCAGTACAACTTTAGGATCGTAAGAGATTGTGATTAGTTTACGGCTTAATTTATGGCACGGATGGATCGAATCTGAGCTCCAAAAAATTAATGTAGGCGGCAATGTCCTCTCCCGGCACACCACCCAACACGGAAAACTCGTTTAAATTAGGAAAATGAGACAAAAAAAAAAACCATAAAACTGTTGATCAGCGAGAGCGGAAGTTGAAATGAATACATTTATACGTAAAGACAAACAAATCATTAATAAATGCAAAACAAATATCGACCATTTAAATAAAATATGTAGAGAATTCGAGTACCAATGTCTTTTAGTGGTCGGAAAATAGCCTTTGGAGGTCACTACATATGAGTTTATCTTTTTAACATATGAAATTGCTTAAAGCAACAACTAAAACCATTTTGGTTGATATACAAAGAAGAATTGTCAAAAGGATCAACTACAGACGGTTTCCTCTTTCTTCTATGACAAATTAATGCACTTTACTATCAAACAATCTAGAAACTTAACAGATAATGGTAAAAGAGATGCTACGTTACACTGCAAAAGGCTGGTCCTTCCCATCCTCGTGATACTTGATGTAGGTCTCGCCGTGCGTGAAGTCCTTCGTTCCCTCTAGACGACCGCGCGGCGGTGCCTTCTCGTAGTCGAATGCCTTCGACGATTTGCCAAACAGCTGATTGGCCATCTCAATATCCTCACGGTACTTGCCCACGACCACCTTTTTGCCAGTGAGCGGGTCGGTTATGTCACCCAGCGGATAGACGACTTTTTCCACAGCGTGCGTGATGAGGCGGCTGAGCCGCTCGGGCAGTTCCCGTATGAGGACAACGTCACCGGTCTTGCACACCTTCTGTGGATCGTGGGCGAAGTAAAACTCGTCCTTTTTGAAATACTATTTGGGAAACGGCAGGAGAACCGGTTAATTCCGTGCGGCACAATGGGTGCTGAGCTCTTACCATATTCAAGTTTTTGTCCATCTCCATGCGGCGAATGCGTATCTTCGATGCATTCTGTTTAATGCAGGGCATACACTGGCCCATCAGCAATAATCCACGTCTCGACATGGCTTGGTTAAAGTTTAATTAACAATTTTTAATAATTGAACTTGGGATTGTTTTCTTTTTTTTTGTTAGCAATGCCTTCTACCCTTATCAAAGTTTCAACCCATACTCTATATACAATCGAATGATTATATCGATATTTTAATTAATGCGAACCCTCCTCAAGGCATTTTGAATGGATAGTGGTCCCAACGGTCAGGACTTTATGTTTTTTACAAAGCAATTCTATAACTCTTAATTATTCTTGCAGCTAGGTTCGATGAGAAAAATCATTGGCCGCAACATTGCCTTGATCCAATCGAGTTTTAACGATATTGACTATCGACTAGTCGATTGCACATTCGCTTTTATTTCCACCACTAACCGATTCCACGTGTTTTTCTTTTTCTATTCGCGCGCAACACGTGCAGAAGTCTTTAATTTTTCTCTCACTACCAGACAACCGCATCAAAATGGCTGACGTTGGTAAGTGGCTGGGACTGATGAATGAACATGGGGCTGCAACTACAAAGACTATCTTCCCGCAGAGGTGCGCAAGGAGAAGAAAAAGAAGAAGATCAAGGAGGAGCCCTTGGACGGCGATGACATTGGCACGCTGCAGAAGGAGGGAAACTTCCACATCAAGCCCTCATCCAAGATCGCAGAGCTGGACACCTCACAGTGGCCGCTGCTGCTGAAGAACTTCGATAAGCTGAACATCCGCTCCAACCACTACACGCCACTGGCCCATGGCTCCTCGCCGCTGAACCGCGATATCCGAGAGTACATGAAGACGGGCTTCATCAACCTGGACAAACCCTCGAACCCGAGCTCGCACGAGGTGGTGGCCTGGATCAAGAAGATCCTGAAGGTGGAGAAGACTGGCCACTCGGGCACCCTCGATCCCAAAGTCACAGGTAAGTCAGCCTGCACTGCCACACGATGCGCGAGTTTTCTCGTTCGGACCTAACCTAACCTCAATGTTCAACCGCGTGCTCGGCAGGTTGCCTGATTGTTTGCATCGACCGAGCCACTCGGCTGGTTAAGTCGCAGCAGAGTGCCGGCAAGGAGTACGTTGCCATATTCAAGCTTCACGGCGCCGTCGAATCTGTGGCCAAGGTACGCCAGGGTCTGGAGAAACTGCGCGGCGCTCTCTTCCAGCGTCCGCCCCTTATCTCTGCTGTGAAGCGTCAGTTGCGAGTACGTACGGTTTATGACAGCAAGCTGTTGGACTATGATGAGAGCCGCAATATGGGTAAGTTCAGCTTTTTTATCTCTTGTTTCTTGTAACGCCGCTGCGTCGCCGCTGGAATGTGCTTGTCCGGCAGGCGTGCAGTCTGGATTTCGTCTAGATTTAATCAAAAAACTCCAGTATTTGCCGACCAAAGCAAATGCACATTTTATTTTTTAAAACCACCGTGTCTCTTTCTCTCCTTCGTCGCTGCCAACTACTCACGTGCTTAGGTGTTTTTTGGGTTAGTTGCGAGGCCGGCTCCTACATCCGTACCATGTGCGTCCATCTGGGCCTGGTCTTGGGCGTCGGTGGCCAAATGTTGGAACTCCGTCGCGTCCGCTCGGGTATTCAGTCTGAGCGCGATGGCATGGTGACCATGCACGACGTTCTGGACGCCATGTGGCTGTATGAGAACCACAAGGACGAGTCAATGCTGCGACGCGTGATCAAGCCGTTGGAGGGTCTGCTGGTCAACCACAAACGAATCATCATGAAGGACAGTTCGGTGAGTTTCGGTGCCAGATTTTGTTTAACTACCCCATGATATTAAGCCGGCAGGTGCTTGCAATCCCCACGAGCGCCTGTGACTATGATTGGGAACAGCAACCGCCACTGATGTGTGTATGTTGGGCAGCGCTTCCTCCGCGCGTTCGACAAAGAAATTTCAGACGACATTCCCTCTCACCAAATCCATATCTTCTAAACAAATATCATTCGAATCTGACCCAACTATATCCCCCGTTCTATCTTCAGGTTAATGCCGTATGTTATGGTGCTAAGATTATGTTGCCCGGCGTTCTGCGTTATGAGGATGGCATTGAGATTGATCAGGAGATTGTCATTTGCACCACCAAGGGCGAGGCTATTTGCCTGGCCATTGCCCTGATGACTACGGCCACCATGTCGTCGTGCGACCATGGTGTGGTAGCCAAGATAAAGCGTGTGATTATGGAGCGCGACACATACCCTCGCAAGTGGGGCTTGGGACCGAAGGCGTCAGCCAAGAAAGCGCTGATTGCCGCCGGCAAGCTGGACAAGTTCGGCAGGCCAAACGAGAACACGCCCAAGGAGTGGCTGACTGGGTTCGTGGATTACAGTGCCAAGAAGACGGCCGCGGCTCCTGAGCCAGCTCCTACAAATGGCTCCAGTGAACCCTCCAAGGTAGGATATCATCATTGTACTCAACTTAACATTTTACTGAAAAATAGTCCTTCCATTTGTTTGTGTAGCGCAAGCTGAGCACCTCAAGTGTTGAGGAATCGGCGGCGCCCGTAGCGTCTGAAGAGACACCGGCCAAGGACAAAAAGAAGAAGAAAAAGAAGCACAAGGGCGAGGATGAGGCCCCAGCTGCTGAGGAGGATGCGGAGCCAGTAGAAAAGGAGAAGAAAAAGAAGAAGAAGAAGGATAAGGATAGGGACAGAGAAGCTCAGGAATAACAAGTTTCTATAGGATTAGGTTTTAAAAGTAGAAAACTCTACGGTTTTTTGTAGAGGAGACGGCTACAAATTTGCATAGTTTCTAAGTTTAAGGAGTGTTTTTATGTGTAGAAATACAAAACTAGATTTCAGATGCATTTAAGTGACATTCGCAATGCAATAAACTATATTTTATTGTACAAAATTGTTCGTTAGTTTTCAAGATTTAAGAAGTTCTATTTAGCTTTCCAGTTGTTAGCCGGACTACCCATCACTGCACGGTGAGTTGAATATATATATATTTCTATTACAACTTTTCAAATGCTGTTTACGTTTGCTTTCTTTCTGTGATGAGCAATAACTTTCGCCCCTAGCTGAAAATTGAAACTTCTCCTGTTGAATGCGAGATTGGTCTTACTGAAGATAAAAGCAAGCAAACGCATTTGGCTGTCTTTATTTTCCAAATATTTTTTGGCTAAAATAGTAATGTTAATCATTTTTTCCTTTCAGCTTGGACATAACTCGGGGGAAGAAGCTTTATTTTCCAGTAATAAATAAGGTAAGTGTGAACTACCGTTTACTTATTAAGTAAATCATTTCTGATGAGTATTAACTTTCGCCCCTATCTGAAAATTGAAACTTCTCTTGTTGAATGCGAGATTGGTCTTACTGAAACCTATACCAAGGAATATAGATTTAGTATTTGAAATCTAATAATATTAACAAGGAATTTCATATATTTATTTGCAGTTTTACGAATGGAAAATACCTTAAACTGGGTTTCATGCGCGTAATAGTTAAAGGTAAGAATAATTTTTATTGCGTAAAAGCGTATTTTTTATGATGAAAAATAACTTTCGCCCCTATCTGAAAATTGAAACTTCTCCTGTTGAATGCGATATTGGTCTTTCTGAAACTTATACTTATTAAAATAACCTAACAAATTGCTTGAAGACTTCTTTACATATATATTTATTTCTTATATTACAGATTACCTCGTCCTAAGAGCATCATTCCGAAATTGTATTTAAAATCACAGTTGAAAGGTAAACATTTATTTTGAAAGGAAGCTTACAATTATCTTATAGTGATGAGTGTTAAACTTTCGCCCCTATCTGAAAATTGAAACTTCTCCTGTTGAATGCGAGATTGGTCTTACTGATTTTTTTCACATTCATAATATTTTAAAATATATTCAAACTTTTAACTAAAATCAAATCGTTTCTTATTTATCTTTCAGATGGCAAAGCATGCTTTCGTTGACCAAGGTAATTATTGTGTATGGCTAATTATTGATTCTATTGCTAATGATGAGAATGGAAAGCTGAATTATGTGGCATGATTTTCACATTAACCGCAACAAAATCCTTATCCAATAGGTCCTACTGATAATATTAAATCATTTAAAAAAGTTTGTGTATACTAACATAAAAACTAATCCTATTAAATGTCCTCCCTTTCAGCCCTCGGAAACATTCCCGCAGATTTCGGCAAACTTTAATAAACACAAAAAGGTTGGTTTTCTTTGTCGCTAGATTTTCCTCAGTACATGATAAGATGATGTGAAAGGAATGCTGAAAATGTGTAATGATTTCACATTAACCGCAACAAAAACAATCCTCTAAATTAGGTCCTGCTGAAAATTTAAAAACAAATATAAATATTCTTTTCCTGTTACCCTAATTTTCTTACTATTGTATACTTTTTCTTTTCTTTACAGGTACAGTACGGCCCAAGAATTTTAATTTATATTCATTTTTGTCTGGACTTTAAAACGTAAATAAAATTAAACAAAGAACACGTGATATTTACTTGGTGGGATTAGGTCATGCGTTTGTAACCTAAAATAACCAGCAGTTTTTTGGCCAAACCTTGTTGGCGGCAATCATTGGCCAGGGGTGCCAAAAACAAGAGTGAAAGAAGAGGCACGGCGAGGGCACGAACGATTGTTTGTAAACATAAACTTGAATTGTTCCCAAGTGCACAATACAATGTGTTAAATGATCCTCTTTATTATGTTCTCTTTCTCGATAGTGGGACGCCCTTTTCAAGCGGTTAAACTTGTTTTCGTCACATCGAAAATATCAACACGCATATATATTCCGCCTGTGCAGCACTGCGTTTCATTCCATCATCCCCTGGCGCCCTGCCTATCGGTAGCCATGTTGGATTTATCGCAGTCTGTTTGTCTGTCACTATTTGTGTATGTATTCGGCTATGCTTTTTTCGTCGCGGCGTCAACGCGAGCTGTGAGTTGTGAATTGTGAAAATAACTTCTTTAATTACGACGGAAAGACGGATTTGCCATTGTCAGAGAGCTAGCAAGCGGATAATTTATACATTAAGTGCAGGTACGTGACCTCAAAGGCGTTTTAAATAAGTTTTTCAGGATACTGCCGGCAAGGGGAATTTTTGTAGAGATGAGAGGGTGCTTTTAGGTGACGCATGCGATCGGTTGTGTATGTATCCATTGCGACGCCATGTTGGATTTGAAATTTGAGGTTATTGATTAGTTTTCCGCAAAACGCACGACTTGGGCTTCTCAAAGAACATTTTACATGTGTTCAGTAAAGAAATCCAAGGGACCTGCTGAAATATACCGTTCAGGTACAGGTAGTCAATATTTCACCTTTTTCATTCAGTGTTGATAAACGAATGCATTGCTGGAGGACTGCTTTATTTCGTAATTTATATTATTATTTTTTATTCCGCTCTTTTTATCATTAAATAGCACACCCTGAATAGTCAGTGTGGTTAATCAAGCCCATATTGTAAAAACGTAATATTTTTTATTCCTGATTTAAATACTATTTAGTATACATTTAAAAAGAAACTACATACATCTTAGCAAAAGTGCGTTTCTTTAAGACCTCTACCGTTTTTTATTAAAATAATGCTAATAATTTGGTCTTTCTGACTACTTAATCGCGCATATTCAGTGTTGTAAAATAAGGACTTTTCCTCGCAGTTGTCTTCTGGCCTCATTTCTCGTGCATTTTTATATAATACATTTATCGGTCATCGAAGCGCGCACGTGTACCTTTCCGCACCCCCTCTCTCGCTCACACTTGCAAGTGCAACAACAACAGCCGCTAGCTCGTTGCCATCCGTTCCGCGGAAATGCCTGGAATGAAGAGGGCCCAGGGCGCACGCTACACACACACGCAAGTTGTGAGTCGGAATCTGGATGTTTTGTGATCTGATCGCAAATTCGCACGCGTCGTCAAATTAACTCTGCCGAATTTTTTGTTCCGCGAAGTGTAGTGTAATTGTAGTTGTGACGGCGCATAGTACAAAATATTTCAGCCGTTGTGCATAGCCAGCATTGGTGCGGAAAAAAACAAAGCAATGTTTTAACTCACTGCTGCTGCTGGTGCTCTTCGCATCGTTCGGGCGTGTGTGTGTGCTGCTGTGGAAAGGCGCTAAACCCACACCAGCAATCGCTGTCGCTGCGTGCATTTACTGTTTCTGTGATACTTTGGGTCTGTTTGCAAAAGTGCGTAATATTGCTTAATAATACGAATGGTAAATTAATTGTCCGTCTGTGTGTGTGTGTTAGTGTGAGTTATATGAATTTTATGTAGAACACCGTTTCCCCATCCGTTGTGTGTATCTGCCGGCAGGCCAACAGAGTAGCAAAGCTTCACTTCAAATATTAAGTTATTAACATTCTCGTCCTTTGGAAAAGCGCATACATTGTGTCAAACTGTGGCAGGTTTCTAGTGCTGAAAAGAGTGATCAATCCTTTTTTCCGGCCAGTGTTGTCAACTGCTATTAATTTTAAGGATTGGCAATACTGGAAATCTTTTAGGTTTTGAGGTTAAGGTTTCCTTTCTGCGTAATAATGACTTTTCATATTTTTTGCTTGCAGCATGACTGACGATCTGCCTCCAATCACATTGAACCGCAAAGAACTGAGCAAATACCACCGCCTTAAGCGCAAATATCCCGTGTCGCGGGCCTTTCTACACCACAACTGGTGGAATGCCAAACGCTTCATTATCTACGCCCTCAGACCCCGTTGCGTCCTGAGGACCTATGCCTGGCGGTATGTGCGCAGCCATCGCGTACGCCTCTTGCGACGCGTCCGCATCCTGCTCTTCGATCCGCGGCTGAAGCGGATGATCAAGCGTCGTCAGAGGAACGTGCGCCAGTGGTCCAGCAGTCTCGTCAGTCACTACAAAAAGATGGGTCGAATCGAGGAGTACGAGGAGACGGAGCTATACACTGTGCCAGAGCCGCTCGCTGCCGAAGAGGTTTCTAAGCAGATGAAGGAGCAATTGGAATTACTCAAAAGCGGCAAGCGGCCACTGGCATTTATGGAGGATGCCAATCGTAACGTGGAGGTCCGCAATGAAAATCCAGCCAAGACAGACACTGAGAAAACCATAGAGAAAGAGTCTGAAACCACGGTTGCCATGGAATCCGACCTCTCTAGCTCTAAGGTCACGGTCCTGGCGGAAAAGGCAGATGAGACAGAAATTGAGGTCGCCAAAGACACCGCCGAGGAAGAATCGAAAGGCCCTGAGCCCATGGAAACCGACTTCGCCAACTCAAAGGCGGCGGCTGAAAGGACGCCTAAGAAGACATATGCTCAAACCGCTGCCCAGGATGAAGCACCAACCCCTCCCACACCGAGCAAGGAGCATAGCAGCCAGACCAGCACGTGCTCCAGCGCCGAGAAACCGGGAAAGTCGGAGAAAGCAGGGGGCAGCAAGTTCCTGGACATGCTCATCAGCAAGGTGCGCGTGAAAACCTTTGCGCGCGAGGATAACATACCATCCGAGACCAGTGGGTCAACCTTGCCCGTCGTCTTCGAGGACGATGGCAGTGATGATTTTGTTGGCTTCGACGAAAGCGTCCATCAGCCTGGAATGTTGCTCACGCCGCTAGTACCACAGAACTGCAAGACATTGGATAGGAATTCAGCCTTCGTGAGTGACACCCTAGACGCCTTTATGCGGGAGCATTATACCAATGAGTCTGGGCATGAGGAGAAGGACAAGCTGCTGGAACCGATGGGTCATGACGGGCAGGTGACATCGCATAGCATGGCGCCGCCTATGGACATGCCCGCCGTCCCGGAGGCTCTCCAACGCTTGCGAACCGTTGCCGAGCGGCGACAGTACCTTCAGCGTTGCAAGAACCAGAAGATGGCCATCATTAACAACGAGGCCAACATATACAAGGAGCTACAGCGCAAGCAGCGGCAGCGCAAGGTGAAGATTGGCGCCATGCAGGCGCTGCAGGCGCCCGACTCCCAAATGCCCTTCACCCGTCAGGGCTGGCAGGCTGCTAGTTATGTGGCTACCGAGAATTCCAAGTACTACTATCAGGTTGGTATTCCAGCAATGATATCATGTTGAAGCTAGGCGAGGCTAACATAATCTCAATCCCTTTCCAGGTGATGCAGGTGGACGGGGAGATGGTTCGTTTGCCCGGCGCTCGGGGCAACAATCAGCATCGCGAGAAGAGCCCCTACTTCAGCAGTCTTACGCCACAAGAGCGGGCCAGCATAAAATGCAGTGACCAGTGTTTGGATGCTCGCATCTGTGACGAGTTGACGGTGATTCCAACGAAAGCGCCCTCACCGAGGAATCCTAAAATCCTTAATCAGTTTCCCCTGCCCGCCATTTTTCGTCCCTGCCCGCTATCCAAAAAACCGCTGCAGAGGCCGCTGGACGACGACACGGCCGCTCTGCTGCTCGCCGGCGGAAGCATGGCAGTTGTGAGTATGCCGAACGTACAGCTTGACGTGATGCCGGAAGTGGGCCGGCCTCTGGACGAGATTGCCAAACGGTATCTTCAGCATATTCTGCCACATCACGATATCACACGGGAATGGGCAGAGTTTAGTGTGTCCACGTTGCAACAGCCGCCCGCCTGCATGAAGGATGCTGAAGAACAGGCTGCTCTGACGCCAGCAGGTCGTCGGAAGAGCTTCACGTTTGTTATTCCATACCTGAACGACCGGAATCACATACTGGTGCGTCGAGTTGTGGATCGATCCGAAGAGCTCGATGCTAGCTTCAACGAGTTGCCCGAGAAACTGCAAGAATTCACTTTCCGGCAAAAGCTGCCGCTTGAAGCAGATTCCGATCTTCTGGCCTGTGCCGATATGATCAACGACATGATCAACACGGTGGCCATCAGCTGCAGCGAGAACAGCTTTATAAGCGAGGATCCCGATGCGGCGATTGAGAATTCCATCCGGGATCGGTCGTCTGAGCTGGGTTCCACGAAGGAGGAAAGTGGCAAGGAGGCGGAGAAGCTAGGTGGCAAGTCGAAGCGACTTCCCAACAAGCAGAAGCGTCTGGCCAATGAGCTACGTCGGTTGAATGCCACTATCATAGATGCCGCTGCCAGGAATACTGATGGTGAGTTTATATATCTTTACATTCATTTTGCGGCTCAGACAAACATACGAACATGAGCCGCTTTTCCTCGCAAGCCATTGGCCCCTCAAAGTCTGGAGCATGGAATCTGAGAAGGCGGTATCGGAAGAACAATAACAAAGGTTATGCATTTACGAAATTAGACAAGAAAAGTAATTTGATTATTAAGTTGGGAATCTTTCTATTCCCTAATATTTTCTTTGTTCAAATATTATAGTAATCCTAAGGCAAAGTCAGAGAAATATTAATGCTTTTATGGTATTTCTTATATTTTCCAGCTAACAAGCCCTGCATGAAGGATCACTGCCAGATGGGTTGCCTCTGCGCCAGCCTGGCAGGCACAGAGTTACCTCTGCGGGATCATTGTAGTAGGCCCGAATGCGTTTTGGAGTGCGGCTGCCTGGGTACGGATCAGGCTCGAGTCATGCGCGTGGAAGCAGCTGATGTAAGCTTATAGTGATTTCTCTCTTTCTTTTTAATTTCCCAGCTTATTGTTTCCCTTTTACTGTAATTTTAGGGTCACGGAATCTCAAATGATGAGGCATATAACTTGCGCCGAAAGGCCACGGCCCGTCTTGCTAAAATGGAGAAGGACTTTACCTCTACCTTGGTGCTCTGCGATAATGCGACGCTTCTAATTAACGAGTCGCAGGGCGACAAAAAGCGTCGCTGCACCAAAGCCCCCAAGCGCTATGAAGATTTCGACGACACTGATATGTTTGAGGAGGAAGTCGAAGTGGTGTCGCCCACGTCGAAGAAGCAAAAGAAGTTGGCTGCCGCGGCAGCTGCTGCTGCGACTGCTGCTGCAGCCGCCGCTGCCAATGCTAAAATAACATCACCTGTTCTCAAGGAACGCTGTACTGTCAACGACACGGATCTGGCGCAACTGAAGCATTGCTTTGTGGGTCTTCGCCGGCTGCAAGACATTGACAACCTGGCAACCTTCTGTATGACTCACCAGTTGTACAACTGCTTCTGCGGTGGTGACTCGCCTGACGGCAAGCCCGTGGTCATCGAGAAGGAGCAGTGGAACACAACGGTGGCCCACTTTAATCCGGAACTGGCCGTCAGAGCGCATTATAGCTTCGAGCGGCAATCGGAGGAGTTGCCGGTGAAGAAGAAAGGCAAGGAGAAAAAAATCAAGGGGAAGGTTGAGCTGAAGCCGGAGAACGAACCAGAGTCGGATAATCCCAAGCCTGACGTACCGGAGGTTAAGACTGATACCAAAGAAGCCTTCAAACCGAAAGAAAAGGTCTCGGCACCCAACAACTTTGTGGCTGAAGTCAGCCCAGTACAACGTTCAGTCGAGTTGGACACTATATACAGCTACTTCCGGACGCGTCCACATATCTGCCGTAGAGCCATATCCGTGCCAAAGAACTCCTATCAGCGTCTCAATCAGCGCCGCTCGGAAAGGGTGCGTCAGTATATGGAACGCCAGGAGACGCCCCAAACTAAGGAGCTTCTCAGGGAGCGCATTTCGAGCGCCATTACGCATTACCGGAGGGAAATCGAAAAACAAAGGAAGCGGGAGTTGGGAAGGAAGCAAAGCGTCAACGCTGCCATCATTGAGGTGCGTGATGATTCCGATGGCTGTGAGGTGAGCAGCCTGCTGCTAAAGAGAAGCGCCGTGAATTCAACCAATGTCCAGAAGCCTAGCAAGCGCATGAAGCTCCAGGAAGAGGATTTGCCGGCACCCGAGCCTGAAAGCCCGAGGACATCGGACATCCAGGTGCCCCGTATCGCTGCCTGCTACTCGCTGAATGCTGCCTCTGTTGACGTTTTGGGATCTGGAATGGCCAGCAATGCATCCGCTGTGGTCATGTCTGTAAGTAATGGCAATGAAACTGATTCGCCCAAGTTCCGATCCTTCTATAACGAGGTGGTGAAGAACATGAACACCCTGGTCAGCAAGAAGATGCAGGACATTGACCTGGCCTTGCAGCGCGAAAGCAAAATCATTCCGGCCCCCAACGAGGAAATTCTCTGCATCATCAAGTGGACCAACTTCCTGGCCGCCTTCGAGTCTGGCTTCGTCTATATCTGGGTGGTTCAGATGAAGACGTACTCCTTTTTGGCGGCCACCACCACCAACCAGATGCCCTCGGTGTGCGGAGCCATTGGTGTTGTGAACACCCGGTTTGCCCCCGATCAGCGAACATTGCCTTTGATGGCAGCGTTGCTGATAGAGGGCAAGCGGAACAACAATACCAACAGACTGGCCGTGGTCATGCAGGGCAGGAAGAGCTATTGGCTCGTCAAGGGCTTCCTGCGTCTTATGGAGGGTAATGCCTGCACCAAGCCAACGCCGCAGACGCATCCGTTGCTCACCAAGAAGATCAATGTGCTTTGCTCACTACTTGTTAAGCAGCGCGTTCGGGAGCACCAGAAGAAAGTGCAGCAAGGAGGAGAAACGTCGTCGTCCACATGCACGTCTCCAGTGCCCGAGGCTCAGGGGACGCCTATCAAGCGCAAGCTGGAGATTGCGGCCGAAGAAGAAGGTTCCTCAGAACAAGAGCCCCAGGGGGCTTTAGTAATTGCCCCTATAGCAACATCATCTTCAATAGCTGTTGCTCCCAACCGCCCTACTCCGCCCGTTGCTCCGCCATCGACCTCAAGAAAAACTAACAGTTTGGGCCATACCAACATTGAGTTCCGGAAGGTCACTCACAGTGATGTGGACGAGCTGCAAATACCGGAGCTGCACGACACCGACCATCGCTGGGTGGTGCTTGACATCTTTGATGACTTCTCACACATCTTTGTGCCCGCCTGTGGGGACATGATCTCCTTGACTCGGATCCACACCGTGATGCGAATGTCCGCCGAGTCTCAAAAGGTGGTTCGTTTGCAGTTCTTCCCAAATGCACCCTACGACGCCTTCGTCACGCCCTCCTCCAAGAAGAAGATTTACTTTGGACCGCTCCACCTGGATATGCCGCCGCCGGTGCTTCTGCTGTTGCAGAGCGTCGACAGGAAGATGATGACGCGCGAGGCATATCAGAAAGAGCATGACATTCCCGTCCAGCGCCATAGGCGTAGCATGGCATTTTGGGTGCTTCACCTAAACGGGCAGGTGCACTTCGAGATCGAAGACGACTCAACGGCCAAGTTGGAGGCGACACATGCGATCAAGATTCCCTCGACGCTGTCTGTAAAAATATCTAATAAAAAGGAGCAGCCTATAGCCGCTTTCCCGCCGGTGGTGATCATTGACAGCGATGAGGAGGATGACGAACAGTTTGAGGCGGACCAAACGGTAGACACCAATGACAAAATAAGAAATCAACTAAAAGGTGTTACCCAGATTAAACAGGAGCACGCGAGAACGAACTTCACCATTCAGACAATGCCCTTCAGCGGGGCCCTGCAGATCACGGCCGCCGAGTCCGTTGCCCCACCGCCCAGCCCTCCAAAGGACGTGACCACCTGCCACCTAACTGGCGGTTTCATGCCATTTATTTCCAAAATACCTGCCAAAGAGGGTGAGCCGTCAGCCAGCAGCACCACCACACAATATCTGACGCCGCAAGTGCAGCTCACGAAGTCTGTGTCCGACGCTACCTTGCCCACATCCAGTTCCTCGGCCCATCCACCCGCTGCTAAGATCAGTCGTACATCGATGCCGGCCTCTAGGATCAACGAGTCACTGCAGGAGCTACTCAGCAGCGGCAATACTGTGACACCTGGCGGAATTACGATCACAAAGTTGGAGAACAACGAAATCCCCGTCAAGATTGGCAGCAAGCGCACCGTTTGCGGAGTTCCCAAGCAGCCAGCACCGAAAGCAATGCCGGCACCATCGGTACTGAAAACCGTCTCTACAGGAACATCTATTCTCAGGAAGACAGGGACAACACCAATGGCCAAGGCCACTCCGTCGGCTCAGCAGTCAAGGCAGCAGTCCTTAGGGACCGCCGCCGCTGCTGGGGGGCCAAGCCCAGGCGTGAAAATATATCCCAGACCAAGTGTTACCGGGCAGCGTCAATCTATGCCCGGAAACGTCACTCCAATGGCTAGGGCGGTGGGTCCGCGCCAATCTCTTCCCACCAAACCAAAGGCTGCCAGTACAGTATCTTATCCGAAATTGCCAGTAGCACCAGTATCATCACGGCTATCGCTGCCAAACAGAAAATTGTTGACCACCGGAGAACGCCAGACCCTGCCAGTAAAGTCTGTTGGCAAGCCGGCCGTTGGTGCAGTTCGTCCGGATCAGGCAGAAGCCCCGTCTCCACCCAAGGCTACACCTACTCCTGCTCAGAAGATTAAGTGCCCAGAATGCTGCTACGGAGTCATGGGGGCCAAGGGATTGCCGCGCTACCGAGTTAAAGTAATGGGCTCTGACGTTATAGTCAAGATACCCGAACTCGAAGTGGTGCATTTCAAGTCATTCATGGCCGCCAGCGCTTTTCTCAATCGGTAAGCTATAACTGGGATATATAATGTATAAACATCTATAATAATTCTGTTTTTGTTTCCTTTTTTTTTTTTGCTTCTACAGCCACCTGGCGAAAAATCCCGACTTCAAGGCACTGCTGCCTGGCGATTGGAAGTTTCTGCCTCTAAAACAGATTCGCAATCCGCAACAACAGCAGGGGTCTTTGGTAAAGCAATCGACTGAGGCGACTGAGTCTCATGTGCCATCTAAAAATCAGCAAAACCCAGCCGCCATCATTATCGAAGATTGAAGCGAACAGGAGAGCTATCCATCATCACTCGAAACCTTTAGTATTTAAGCGACACACATGTACACTCCCGTTATCCGAATACATATTATAAATATGTACGCTGTTTAGTTTAAGAAACTAGGTTAGAACCATCAAATGCTCTTTTTTGAGTTCTGTTTAACATTACGGATTAGGTTTTTTAAATACACAACTATATGAAAGTGTTTATAATGTATATTTGATGGTATTCCTCACAGAAATTTCATATTTCGTTAAAAATCATAATGTAATCTGAGATATCTTAAAATTTAAAGCCTTTCAGAGTTTTAAATGTTTTATTTTTATTAAAAAGAAGTCTTCAGCACTATTTTAAGGCTTACAGAGCTTGTAGGAGACTATATACCAAAATACGCCTGAATTGCCACAAGAAATATGTCTATTATGAGTTGAATTATATATTCGATAATGTATGCACTCTAGAATTTACACTATGGATTTGAAATTAATATGTTGTGTTAAATAAATGTATAGACTGCATATAATTGCAGAAATTCAAAATATTTTCCGAATTTATGATTGAAATTCAAATAAAATAAAAATCGGCGCCCACGCATCAGCAGTTTGGCCGTTCCAATTCCACGGCGTTCCACGCACGCACAGCTGACTTTCCCTTAGAACGCGGAAGCAGGGTGGAACGCAGAATCGCAACCGCAAATGTTTACTCCCGCACATTTTGTGGCGTTAGCTTAGTTCTATTTATTTATTTATAAATAAAAAAGCTTGTGGTATCATTAGAGAGCTTCGATAGTCAGCTGATAAGCACCCGCACCCAGCGTCCAGAGTCGCTGCACAACAAAAATTGGCAAATCCAAAAAGAAAACACCTCCAAGGTCAGCTTATATGCACAAACGATATAGAACTACCAATACATGCACACTTAGTGCGATCGGAAATACATATGTATGTATAAAGTTGACACTAATTCGCTTGCCTAAACAATTTGCAGATAACGCTCCCGAAAGCTCATCGCATTTTCTTCGATCGCTTCCTCAGCGACAACCGCTGGGCCAGATTTCGATACATCGCGAGCAGGGGAAGACGGCCCCTGAGCTACTGCTGCTGGACGCGGAGAACACCATCAGCACTTTTAAAAATGGGCTGTGACGAAAAGCGGGAGCCGGCTGGCGGAATGTTGCGCATTAAGGATATACCCGAGCTGACGCAGGACCACTGTCGGATGCGCGATCCGGCCAAGGTGGAGCGCATCATTAACGAGTTCGTCCTGGGTGGACCGGAACGCATGCAAATCGTGTCTGACTTTGACTACACCATTACCAAACAGAGGACAGAGGACGGCGGCGCGGTACCCAGCAGCTTTGGCATCTTCAACGCCTGCCAGTCGCTGCCGGAGAACTTCAAGGAAGAGACGGACAAGCTGTACCACAAGTACCGCCCCATTGAGATTGATCCGCACATGCCAATCTCTGAGAAGGTCCAGTATATGATCGAGTGGTGGACCAAGTCCGGGGAACTCACCAGCGGGTTCGCCTTCGATCAATCGGAAATAGATCAGATAGCCGAGAAGTACAAGCATGCGCTACGTGACCGCACACACGAGTTCTTTGCGGACCTGCAGCGCCTGGACATTCCCACGCTCGTTTTCTCAGCCGGACTGGGCAACTCGGTGGTCTCTGTGCTGCGACAGGCAAATGTGATGCACCCCAACGTGAAGGTGGTATCCAATTTCTTGCAGTTCCGCGACGGACTCCTTGATGGCTTTCAGCAGCCGATGATTCATACCTTCAACAAGAACGAGACTGTACTTGGAGGCAGCGAATACTACGACCTAGTGCACAACCGGGATCACATCATTGTGATGGGCGACTCCCTCGGCGATGCTGACATGGCGGCTGGTGTTCCAGCCTCCTCGCACATTATGAAGATTGGTTTTCTGTTCGATCACGTGGAGGCCAATATGGACAAGTACATGGACACCTTCGACATAGTCCTAGTGGACGACCAGACCATGGATGTGCCCAGAACCCTGCTGGCCCTCATTGAGAAGCAGCACCAGCTGAACCTACTGGCCGGCAAGCAGAGCTCGCTGTAGGTGCAGGCCGTAAGGGAGGAGGAGGCATACGCGGTCTTAAAAGTACTCGAAGCCCCGTTCCTGCTCTCTCATTAGCAGGAAGGCGGTTGCTAACTGGAAAACAACAGAAGCTACTAATTAGGTGGTTTAGGTTTAGCCATTTTACTCATTTACGAATGAATGTGTATATTTCATGTATTCAGTCATATATTAAAGACAACGTGTTGCTTTGCAAAACCGATGTAAAAACTGAATCTATTTTATGGGATATTATCTTTATGTCTTTATTATCTTTATAAATACTTCCAGAGACGTGTGATGTATTCAGAGCATAATCTTCTTTAGGGTATTAACTTTTTGAAGATTTACAAGTTCTTTCCAAACCGATATTTTATGTATTATTTTACTTAATATATATAAAATTTTATAAATAATTAAGGTTAACGTAAAACAAAAGAACAGAATTAAAAAATATTTAAAACTAAAAAACAAATTCAATTAATGTCGAAATTGAACGAAATACAATACAATGGTACTTACATATATTAAATATTAAACATATTAACAACTATAATTTATGCAGAAACCATTATTTCAGCATGAAAAATTTAGAAGATCATATATTATATATATTATATTATATATATCATATATTTTTGAAAAAAAATCGTTTATAAATTTACTTAAATGACAGTTATTTTGTTTTTTCTTATAAATAAATGAATGATAAGCTGAAAATATTCAACGGACATTCCGAAAACTTCGAACTCGATCGAATTTGAGCGAAAGCAAAATCTGGAACGGGTTTTACGCTGCTGGGGGTGAGCAAGGTGCCAGTCATTCCATTCACTAGTGGTGGCCCCGATGTCGATAAATTGCTATCGGAATATACAAGAAAAATACACAAATCACTCGCAAATTAGGATTTTACGCACTTTTAATTTGTATACAGGCCCAAGGCGAAGCGCGTACAAGTTAAGAATTTCGACCAGGGAGGATCTTCGCCACAGCCACCGCGGAATCGCAGCGTCCCGCCACGTCCCCAGTTGTCCTGTGAAGCATGTGGAGGAGCGACGCCTGAGAGCAGTTGCCAACAGAAGGCTGGTGGAACGAGCAGCGGATCGGATCAGCTGTAGCCCCCGCACCACTCCACTTCACTCCACACCTTACGCCACTCCACTTAAGGCACCATCCAGCTGCGAGCGAACACAATAATACAGCAATAGTGCAGCGTCATGTTCGGGTTCGACGGGGAGTACCGCCGCCGTCCGGTGCAAAGTCTGGGTGGAGCCTCGCACACCTGCGACCGGGACACTGTCATTCGGAAGGCGGCCCAGGAGCGCCAGAAGCGTAACGAGCTGCGCCAGAAGGAGAACGGAGCGGTGGTGCTGCAGTCGTATGCCCGCTCCTTCATCCATCGTCAGCGGGCCAAGCGGGCCGAGCGGGAGGCATTCGATGCGTTTCTGCTGGCCCGCAAGGACAGCATAACGGAGGACGAGAGCCTGACGTATCTGCTACGGCGCCTCAATTTTTTCTACAGCACCCGCGAGGCTAAGGATGGCGAACGACTGGTGAGTGCTTCCTATTTTTTGTGAGTTATCTTCTATAAGTGCTTCATCCTTCCTTAGATCGAGGTATGCCAGCAGATTTTGCGACAGCCGGGTCGCCTATTGCAGCACTCTGTGATAGATTCGATGTGGCTGCTTAGGGTCTGCAAGCTGCTGGACACTTGCCTTCTCCAGCTATCGCTGTCACATACGGCTCAGGCCATTCCTTTGCGAATGCTGGAAACTTTCACCACCGTATCGGCTGTGCAGCGCCATGTGTTAGATGAGGCACTGCTTTTTAAGTACTTGGAGCGCGTGTTTGGCTTCCTCATTGCCCGCAACTACTTTTTGCGCCTTCGACAGTTGCTGGATGAGAAGTGCCCGCCGCTGGACGGAGAGACGCTGCATGCGCCTAGTCCACAGGCCGATGCTCTGCTGCAGCTGCTGCTCCGACCCTTGGCGGTGGCCAGACGGGCATCAGCTGAAGGGCAAGTTTCGTCCATGTCAACGGCCGTCTTTCAGAACTTCATCGTGGATATTTTAGCAAAGCCCCACACGGATCCCGTGCGGTATTTTGTGCTGCCCTGCCTTGCGGAGAGTACAGAGTTCCCCTTTTATTTGCTGATGCGTTCATTGGAGGCGACATTGAATCTAGTCCCGATGGACTCTGGGGATAACATGACCAGACGGCGCAGCTTTCTGTATCAGGGGACAGAAGACGGCCAGAAGGCAAAAGCCCAGGTCGTTGAGGCGCTGTTCTCATCGTTTCTACTAAACTCCCTCCTGGTGCTGGATCGCAGGCAATTGGGTGAGTTATCTTTGCGTAGAACTAGAACATACAGAACCTATATCTTATATCACATTATAGCCACTTTGCAGCAGAGCTCGCTACTGGTATCTTACATTCGTCTAATCGCGGAAATGATGCCAAATATCCTGCAGTTACCCAAGTCCACGTTGCGGGGTCACGCCAATGCCCCACATCGCCACAGGGACAGCGATGACGAATCTGAGGACTCGGACGAGGAAGAGGATCAGCCGATGGTTCACAGCTTGGACTACGATATGGAGCAACCGGGCAGGATGGTCGTGGAACTAAGTGCTAAGGAACGCGACTGCTTGCTGGAATCCATTGCCATACTAAACGAGTCGGAGCGGGTTGACTTCATTGTTCAGCAGCTGGATCCGCTCATCGAGAATAGTCAGCTAATTTATGCGCTCTGCGAGATTTGTCACAACCTAATGATTTACAATAAGCATGCAGTCTTTGAGTACAAGTAAGATGACAAAGCCGTTAGAGTGGAATATATAGCTAACCCCTTTTCCCCGCAGGTTAGTCTACACTTTAGCCTTTACACCCAAGTTCATCCGTTCTGTGTGGTTCAAGCTAGCGGCGGAATCAACCCAATTGGGCTTCTCTGCTCCCCTTACCCTCATTTCCAAGGGCGTTGTGCGTGAGTATCTTTCTATAACAATTCGGCTTCTTTGTGTATTGAAAAATTCATCCGACAGCCAAGCAACAAGGCGTGGATCGTACTATTCCTCTGCTGGCCACCTTCTGCATGCTCTTCGGCCGCCTTTTGCCCACCTTGCACGATGTGGAGTTTGTGGAAAACAAGCTTCTGGTGCAGACCCAGGCTACCGTTGAACATGTTCAACTCATGCCCTTTTCCATTGCGGAAATCGTGCAAATGTCCAAGACGTTAAAGGACATTAGCATGGGCCTTGTAGAGCTGGCCTTTCCCGAGACGCGCAGCAATTTGGCCAACTATCGCAGTGTCCTCGGACACACGGATGCCGATGACAAGAAGCTGCGCCATCAGAAGCAGATCTGGGCCAACCTTCTGAACGTTGTTGTCTTTGTGCTAAATCAGATTTACACTCGCGATTTGCGACTGGGCTTTTGCCCGGAGGCCCATTGGACGGTTAGTCGGCTCGACTTGCCCCTGGATAGACCCACAGATCTGCCACTGACCCATAGCAGTCGCCTGCGCGGTATTCGACCCTTCCAGCCCATAAGAGACTTTACACGTGAGGACTTTGAAAATGGACCGCCCATGTCCACGAAGCAGATACGCTCCATCACCATTCTCCGGGAGATCCCCTTTGTGGTGGCTTTTAGCAAGCGGGTGAGCATTCTTCAGGGTCTGGTGGCGGCCAACAAGATGCGGGTGCAGGGCAATCTTCAAGCCTTCCTGCAGGGACCCTCCATAATGATCACGGTGAGGCGGTCGCATTTGTACGAGGATGCCTACGATAAGCTGCGTCCTGAAAATGGTGGGTTCGATTATCAAATACTCCATATCTACAATTACAATTTAAAATCTTAAAATTCTGTGTAGAACCCGATCTGCGTTTCAAGTTTCGCATACAGTTTATATCCCGGCTCGGTCTTGATGAGGCGGGCATCGATGGCGGTGGAGTTTTTCGCGAATTTCTGTCGGAGCTGATCAAGACTTCTTTTGATCCGAATCGTGGTTACTTTATGTAAGTATTTGACAAATATTTCGAATGAAAAAGGCATAATTTGTGTGATTTATCCCCAGGGTAACCACGGACAATAAACTGTACCCGAATCCAAATGTGCAGGACATTTGCGAGGAGTATGAAAAGCACTACTACTTCATTGGCCGCATTCTAGGCAAGGCCATCTATGAAAACTTGTTGGTGGAGCTGCCTCTAGCTGAGTTCTTTCTCACCAAGCTGGCCGGCAAATATTCCGATGTGGACATCCATCAGTTGGCCTCCCTCGATCCCGAGCTGTATAGGAACCTGCTGTACTTGAAGGACTATACGGGCGATGTAAGTGAATTGAATTTGGACTTTACCGTGGCCAGCAGTTCGTTGGGACAGACACAGATTGTCGAACTGAAGCCGCAGGGCCAGACCATCCCAGTGACTAATTCGAATCGTATCGAGTATTTGCAACTGATTGCGGACTACAAGCTTAACGTACAGATACGCCGACACTGCAATGCCTTCCGCAAAGGCCTGTCAAACGTTCTGCCCATCGAATGGCTTTACATGTTTAGCAACAAGGAGCTGCAAATACTCATTTCGGGTGCTGAGATACCCATCGATCTTGAGGATCTGAAGAAGCACTGTAAATACGGTGGCGAATTCACACCAGAACACCCCTCAATTGTGGCGTTCTGGGCGGCACTGGAAGGATTCGATGATATGCAGCGCCGGAATCTGTTGAGGTTCGTCACCAGCTGTTCCAGGCCGCCGTTGCTGGGCTTTAAGGTTGGTATTTAAAGCTTTTATTTATTTTATATTATTCGAAGAAAACTCATTAAACTGTTTTATTAGGATCTGGACCCACCGTTCTTAATCCAAAATGCTGGCGACATGGAACGCCTGCCCACAGCTAGCACCTGCACCAATCTGCTGAAGTTGCCACCTTTTAACAGTGTGGAACAAATGCGTGAGAAGCTACTCTATGCCATACAATCCAACGCTGGCTTTGAACTCAGCTAATCTGTCGAAGCCCCTCCTCTCCCCTGAAATCCAGAAACATATCCAAAACCACAGCCAGCCAATTCAGGAAAACGAATCACAATACCTTAAAATCGGCAGAGAATGCGGTGAAACTATTCCAGCTAATTTACAAAACATTGTACATTATGATTAACGTAATTGCTTAGTGTAAAGTATGAAGCTTATGAGGTCTCTGTTTATCTAAAGTTCTCTTTGTATTTGTTTGAGTTTGTTTTTTCTTTTACCAAAATATATATATATAGAGATATATATGCATGTATGTAAATCAAGCAAGGCAAGCTCAGAATATTTGAATAAATGAAGGGGCAAGCGTTTGGACCCGAAATAAGGTATCCATACACCCCTTTTCCCTGCAAAATTTGTGCCATCACCTGCCCGGGAGCACCGCCACCGTTGACGTTGCGTCCAATTGCCAGGCCTGCTGAATAATTCGCTCGTAGACCATTCGTGGCGCCGTGACGGCAAACAGAAAGTCTATGTGATTATAGCCAGGCACCTGATACATCTGTGTTCGGCTGTTCCGCAGTTCCCTGACCAGGCGTTGCACATCCGCCTGAATGGTCAGCACGTCCCGGGTGCCATGGAAGATCTGCAGCTGCAGGCGAACATTGGCCAACTGATATGAGGGCGGCGTGGCCTGTCCATATCGCAGCGCATTGAGTCGCGGTGAATGGTAGTCGTACTGCTGGAATTGGCCTGTGGGCAAAACAAAGAGCATCAATGATTATTCCGCCTCCACAAGGATAACCTAGCTACCAGGAGGCGCATACAGTGAACAAAATCTGAGTTATTCGTTAAATATGTGGTATTGTTTAATTTTAAAAGAGATTAACAGGTATTTAAAAATTAATATAGTAAAGTATAACGAATTCAAAAGTTACACAGTATCCTCAAAGTTTGTTAGTGTAACCACGAAAATCTCCTGAATTCTTATTTTCTCTGTGCACCTGTGCATATGTCCGATGTCCAACTTACCGCTATTGATGAGCTGTCCAAAATGTTGCAGCTGGCGACGCGACATGCCCGCCGGTGTCGTCTGCAGGATGCGTGGCAAGATGTTCTGGCAAAAAAGGAGGAGAAAAGACGAGGGCCATTTTGTTAGGCTTAAACTCACAAAACGCTTAAATTTTATGAGCAACAGCCGGAAACAGGACCTCACCCTGCCCCGACCATGTCGGTGTCGGTGTATCGGTGTGCGCTCAGGCTGCTATTTCCGTTTCATTGCGACACAAAGCATACACGGAAGTGCACACAAGCAGACACACACACACTCGTCACACACATATACACATATACCACCCTCCGTAAAAATCACACATGAGCGGGCACAGGAGCGAGGTCTCAGGGCAAAGGCCAAGAGGTCCTTGCTTTGATGCTCCGGCCTGGGGGAGTTGAATTTATATTGCGGGTATTTGTTTTGAAATTAGCTGCTTATTTGTTGGTGGACGCTCCGCCTCAGCCTCTGATTAAGGTAAGTGCATTGAGATTTTCCATTTTCAATTTTCCATTCAGTATATTGAGATTGATATTGATATTGCCTAAGGGCAATGTAGGAGGCTGGACAAGAGGCTTTCAAGGCAGCGGCTAACTAAATAGAGTTGTTTTCTAAAGAAAACATTGAGGGGAAACTCGGGATATTCCTATTTTAATCTTTTATTTTATGTTTATCTTGAGAAGACTATTCAAAAATGAGTTCCAATTCTTACAATAATATAAAAACCTTTAAAAATGTATGATGTTAAAGTTGATTCGATATTTTAAAAAGCAAAATAAACAAAGTAATAGAAATCCTCTTATTTTATTGTTATTCTTTCATTAAACCGAGCTGATTGATTGTACAATTCAGGATAAATATTTTATTCCGATCTGATATCACATCAAAGAAGTAAACTGAATTTCAAGTGAAATATTTATAAGCTGCTTATGGTCTTGTTTTCCGATAAGCACACTTGTTTATCTTAAATAAATGGGACATGTCAGTGGGAACTATTTAAAATCAATGCTTTCCGTTTAATTCAGAGAATCCCTTGTTTAAACACAATATCCCCAAAAAAGTTGAGAGTTTTTTTGCTCGTGTTATTCCCCCTTTTTTTGCAGAGGGAATGCAACGACTCTTCAGTCATAGAATTTTATGTAAATCGCTTCGACTTTAAACTGCCATGACAAGCCATTGAAACGTTGCATGCATCGTCCTGCGGCGACATATTTTTTTTGTTTTGATGTTTATTTGATTTTCCGCCTGGCCGTTGCATTTCCCATTTTTTCTTTGTTTTGTTTTCTTATTTCTTTTCCTTTTTCTTTTTTTTTTTTACAACCAGCCAGCAACTTGTGGCAAATACTGGCAATTTTGTGCCGCCAGCTTGTTTGTGTTTCCCCGAGTTTTTCTTTTCGTTTCGTTTCGTTTCGCTAGCATTTATTTCTTTACATCTTTTATTTTCAGCTGGAATCTTATTCGACGCAGTGCAGTTGGCCAAGAGTGTTGAACTTTGCGAGGGTCGTGGGGGCGGAGGCCGCGGAGGTTACTAAATATGCGCAAATATTTATTCGGAGCGGCTCCGTAGCTCTAGCTGTGGCAAGTTCGACAGTTGTCGCCAGTATCGCCTCCGCTCCATTTGCTCAAGCTCCAGCGTCTTTTTGCTGGATATTTGCCTAACAATATCTAGCTGCTGGGTCTCTGGTCTGTTGACTTTTTTATGGGAGTTATGAGCGCTAACACAGATATGACACGCGCTTGCACTCGCTTGACACTCGTGTCGTCAAGTGGCAGTAGGTACCAAAAAAATACTTGTTATTCACTTGCCAGCGATGCCGACGATAAATAGTATTTGCCTAGCAATTTTCAGCTATATTCCTAGTCAACAATCAAGATTTAGCTACATTTTTAGTTGCGCCGCAAAAAGTATGCTATACTTGTGGGTTAGTAAAGATCAGACCTTTAATAATCACCTAGGTAAAACTACTTGATTCTCCTTTATTTGTGGAAAATGCTTATTTACTGCCTTTATTAAAGGTTTCAAAAGCCCCGTAACATGGCAAACCCCTTGGATTATTCAGAGCCGTGAAATGCTTATTTATGGCTGCATATGTGAAAAGATTTAAGAACTATAACCTGAAGAACTTTTTAACCCTTTTTTTTTCATGCTCCCCACGGCAACTATAAAATGTTCAATTCCAGCTTCGGCAGCAGCACTGCAGTAGTGTCCAGGGTTCCGCAGCCAATTGGCCAAAGCCCCCACTTTAATAACTTACAAGCGGCACTTGGCGCCCCCGAATCCCTAACTCACTTCAGTTGGTAGTAAGCCTTTTGAGCACGCGCCCCCGAAACACTCCGGACACACAGATAAGCCATAAAGTTTTTTTCTGTTCTTTTTTTTTTTGCTTTCGTTGCACGAGCGCGATTTATTTGCCATATTTCACGGCAAAACAAAATTTAAATGTACCGTGTGCTGCGCGGGAAACAAAAAGTGTTTAAGGCACCGTGGCGTATACGTAATGTGTGTTATACTCTAGTTAGAAGCCGCCAGCTGGGGCGGGAGAGAGGAATTGAAGTTGTTGTTCGGGACAAGGGGGAGGGGGGAAAAAGTTTAGCACACCTTTTGGTTGCACATTACACCAGAAAAGTCCCGGAATTCCCGGAAAGTTGATGCAAAGATGCTCTAAATAATATTTGTAAACCTTTTGTACACATGTTTTGGAAAAATTTTTGTAAATTGCTGATGTATTCTATTGAATTTATACAATTTTAAGGGTTTTAACTATTTATTTACATAACTTTAACATATAAATTCTCAAAATAAATATCAAGGAAACTGATTTTTTTTGAGAATTGTATAGTTCTCAACTTATTCACAACTTATTATTATTTAAATCCCTATAAACCAAAATTAAATCTTAATATATTCCAGCTAATTGACAAGTTGTGTACCTGAGCCCATTAACCCTTTTTTTTGGTTCGGAATTACCCTTTTCGTTCACAATAGTTCTGGCCTGACTTTCAACCAGGAAGCTTTTGCCCAGCAAGAGCAGCTCGTTTACGCATTTAAATTCAAATAACTTTTATTACCGAAACTAAGGCCCATGCCCCATGCCCCATGCTGCTCCTGCTGCCCCTGCTGCCCCTGCTGCTGCACGGGTTTGTCTGTTTCTGTGCGTCTTTGTGGGTGGGTGGGAAATGGCCACTCACTCCAGAGTGCAATAAAAACTTTAGCATACAAGAGGAAAAAAAGTTTTCGGGGGCGCTTTGTTGGCTAAATTATGGCCCGCATATATAATCGTACTCACACGATCCAATGGATAGTCGCTGAAGCCCACGTACAGGGAGGTGAACAGGGTGCACAGGGCGTAGGTGGGCAGGGTGGCGCTACAGAAGTACTGGCCACCCACCTGGGTCAGTGACGTGGCCGGGAGCAGCTCATGGAGGCCAAGTGTGTTTAATAGCATCTACAGGGAGAATTATTTCACAGCAATATCAGTTCATAATTCAATTTAATACTTTTGTCATAAAATTATGCAATTCATCATAACTAAAGAAGAAGTACGCAATACAACAAAATTAATATTTTATTTTAAATTAATGGTTTTTCTAATAAATATTTGTACGTATAAACCAAGGATATATTAAAGATAAAAAGCTGAAAAAGCCAGCTAATAACAAAAATTCTATACTATCATTAAGCTTAGCTCTGATTATAGAAGCTTAAGCTATCAAATTTTGTGACAACAACATTATCTGTGTGGCAATGGTCTAAAGGGTTTCAATGTTCCATAATTTGAAACAATGATAAGCAGCTATTGCGAACCTTATGTTCATCTCTTGGCACTCTGTTTGATTCAGTTTCTTCCAGGTGACAGAAAGATTATTAGTGATTTTGATTTTTGGGCTTTTGTTTCAAAAATTCTCCGCTCAACTATTGGATGACCGATGTGGCATGAATCTAGCAGCAAATTATAGAATTTCAAATGGCTTGGATGGCAGCCAAACGTAATGAACAAAACTTTATATGTGGCGGCACTTTGATTCATAAACGTACATAAGTAAAAATATATATGTATTTAAAAATAGTAAATTAATAGGAAATTGAAATGGATTTATTTCTTGTCAGGTTTTGTGTGGACCGCCGCTCATTGCATTGTAAATCAGGGCAGATTGTAAGTAAACTAAAAGAGCAAAATAATTTTAAAAACATTATATAACAAATATTTCACACAGATTCGTAAAGTTGGAAACATATAACTTATCGGCGGTATGCCGAAGAGTACAGTGGGATACTCTAGCATAACGTTGCAAAACGACATTGGTCTGCTTAAGCTACCACTCGACATTGTGTTCTCTGGTAAGATCGACACAGTGACACCTGGATGAGCGATTCTGGCGGTCCGCTGATCAGAGAAACTTATTTCAATGGCACTCGACGGCTGATGCAGCTATAAGGTATAGTTAGCTATGGTATAAAATCATGCACAGGACTGGGAATCTATACCGATGTCAGAAGCTATGCTAACTGGATTGAAGAGAATATTAAGATTCATTATTCTGCAAATTCTTGGCAGCCTTCACCCACTCCTTAGAGTTCCGGAAGTTCCGGAGAAGCGGAAGCTGCTGCTTGGATGGCAAGCACTGTGATTCACAGACGTATGTATATTTAAAAAAGAAATCATTACTATATTAATTATAATGTTTTTTTGTTTTTCGTCAGGCTACGTAATGACCGCCGCCAATAGCATTGGAGACATACAAGAAACCATGTGAGTAAATCTATAATTCTTTGGATTTAATATAATAATACTAATGTTTGCAGATTTGTAAGGTTGGGTACATACGACAGTTCGGCATCATAAGCTATGGATGAAGTGCTTGCAATGACATTGGAGTTTATACCGATGTCACAAGTTATACTGACTGGATTGTGCAAAAGGTTAGGGGATTACGAAAAACTATGTGATATAATATTTTTTTCCATAGGAAATATTCAAAAATAAATCGGTTAAAGTATATAACATATGAATGAATTAAATCTCAAGAATTTAAACTTTGATTTTCCCAAACCTAGCATGGTTTCTTGTTCTAGTGAATTATTGTTTCTAATAAGTATTTTTCCTCAATGCAGAGCTTATCACTAACCCACTACCCATCAAGTATACGCACTGTGACTCCGGAACTGTCGCTGGCCAGCAATCGCAGTGGCGGACTGCTCAGGTGCTTGAGGAAGGCCACCGGTGCCATTAGCGCCGCATTGGTGAACCGAGCATTGTACTCCGGTCGCTGTGACAGCAGCACCAGCAGCACCGTGGTCCCCTGCGAGTGGCCAACATAGTGCAACTGCCTCTGGCCCGTCCGCGCCAGCACGTAGTCCACGGTGGCGGGCAGGTCGTAGATGCCAATCTCGTGCCAGCTGAACTGCCAGAAGCGGGCGTCACTTGTCGCGAGGCTGCGATGCCCACGGGAGTGGGTGGTGCCCCTGGCATTGCCCATCCAGACGTCGAAGCAGCGGGCATGCAGCTCCAGGGCCAGTGATCTACCACGGCCTCCCGCAACAAAGTCCCCGGCGGAGCCGAGGAGGCCGTGCATCAGCAGGAAGGGGCGCAACTGGCGAGTGGCACACCGGGGATTTCGTGGCGCCGGAATACGATGAACACTCAAACGATAACCGTCGGCGGTCTCTACGCGATGCACCTGACACTCGAGCCGCTGACGCTGAACCGCCTGGCACACGGAATCGATCAGCGGCGATGCCCGTTGTCCCAAGATCAAATGTGTCCAGCCGAACAGCACTATATAAACCGGGATGAGCTTCATAATGTGTGATTTCGAATGCGACCTTTTAGGACATGATTGTGGTTACGTGACGTTCGAATGGCAACTGCCGTTGGCGGTTTATTCGCTGGCGGGTTTTTGTGTTTGCGTATACGCAATGTGGCCGGTGTGCTCTATTCATAACTATAGAACGCAGTCACTGTGAATGGAAGCTATAAATAAATGCATTTTTCAACTTTTGTTTACCCGCCCCGTCACACAATTGATGGCACCGAAGGTGTCTGGCCTAGAAACGTTAAAATATGCAGTTTTCGAGTGCCCCAAAATGGTTAAGTAAATCTTACAGACTTTATATTGTTGAAATTGCTATGTGGATAGTATATACAGGTACTGTTATTGTAGTATGTAAATATATTAAAAAGATTTCTGGTTAAATAATTTATACTTCATAATCCATATTAAATATAGCTCTGTTCACTTTAGTTTCTATCAACTGGACAATGGATCCTTATATCCTAATTAACTGTATTAATTTGCGATCCGATTTTCGCCGATTTGGCGCTATATGGCCAAACCGCAATCTGCTGCTGGACAATGCATTTGGAGACGAAATCAAATATGTACGTTGAGTATATATCATGTATTACACTCTATACTGGACGACTGACAGACAAACCGCCGGAGTGACTGACATCGGACAGCACATGTTGGGGCAGAAGCAGGCAATGTGATTTACAATCTGAATGGCTTGGACGTGTTGAAAATGCAATCGTGCTAATTAAAACGACCGCGACACAGAGCGTGTGAAATTATTACATAGCATATATATAGCACTATATAGATGTGAGGGTACTCCCAACTCCAATAATTTGCAGATCGGGGGAGCTAGTGTGGCTTGTCTCGGTTGCCATTGGAGGAGGGAAGGCAATTAAAGAGTGCGGTCAGTTGAATGACTATTCTAGTTTTGGTCAACGAAAGTTTAATGGTTATAGTCCATTCATTTGGTTATTTCGCAATGTTTTTGCGGTGTCCTGGCAATAAATGAGTGTTTTTTTGTTTACAAATTTACAAATTTACAAAAGAGGATTTTATGGAATATAATTGAAAATAAATAATTTAAACGGATCGCCTCTGGCATTTAACTACAAATTTGTTCATTTTTAAAGCTTAAATTAAGCAGCAAATAGTAAGGAATTAAAATTGAAAAATGCTAAAAAATATTAAGGCGTTTTCTTGGCAAAACTTTTCAATCTGCAGCCTCTTGATAAAAACTCTACCTAAAACTTCGACTCGGGCAATCTGCAGGCATTAAAACTGAATCTCAACTTGACCCGTAACCGCAAAACTTTCAGGACATTGTTGAAATGGATCTCATCACATATTAAGCGTTTCAAAAACACACCAAAAAGAAAAAAAGAAACGAAATTGGTTTACTTGCTGCTCGAGAGTTATGGAAATTCATTACTGGCCGAACAAGAGAGAAAATTCCTTTCCAAATGAGAATAAAATCAAGAAGAAAACCTTGAAAGAGTGGCGTGGGGTGGCTGGGTTGGTTGATGAAAACATGGCAAAGGCAGCGTCGAGTTAAGTAAATATGATTCAAGGACACTTGACTCGCTGTGGAATCCCTTTGGCCACTTACTTTCGTGCACAGATTCCCGGCCCCGTCTCGTCCCATTGGAAAAAGAGATTTTAATACTTTCTCGCACAAAAGCTACTTAAAGTTTGCCTTGGCTTGGCTTGGCGCTTAATTCGTTTTCTTCTCCTGTTTTTTTTTACTGTTTTGTCAACAGGAAACAAAGCCAGAACGGAGGAGCAAAAAAATAGAAATAAAAGTTTTTTGTAAATTGAGTTAAGTTAATTTTTTCTTTGTTTTTACCAAGTTTTCGGTTTTTTTTGGCAGCAGGAAGTTTGCGCTTTGGTTTGCCTAATAAATGTGCGTGCAAACAAAAGGCCAGATGGAAGCGAGTGAGTGAGCAAGTGAGAGGCTCTATGCCGGGCAGACAGTTGTTGCGACAGCCAAAAGGATAAAGGATAATGACAGCCATTAGTATTAAGTGCGCGTTGGCTACTTGGGATCCCTCCCCCAATGTACCAGGTTTTTTTCTACGCTGCTTTCCTTTCCCTCGTTTGCTCGCTCGCTCGCTGGCTCTATCCCCCGCTCATTAAAGTTGTTAAGTACTTGGCGTAAATGTGGCTTTTCCAGGGGCCGCTACTCCTGGGGATTGGGGATTGCTGCTTCCCTCCATTAAAGTTAATTTAAATGCGCCTTAAGCGCTTCAACTTAATTCGATGGTCGAAAAGAAGGAAGCCAAGCCCCCATACTGAAGGTCACTGAACTCACGTATCGAATAGCAAAAGAAACAAGATTTCATCTCTGAAATTAACATGCTCACATACTACACAATGGCTCACCTGTTTTTGGGGTGAGGAGAATTTTATCGGTTCGTTCTCCCAGAAAAGAAACCACAACTAGAGCTCCACTTGCATTGCATTTCAAAATACAAAAGCCTTTCAAAACAATTCACAACACAATGAGTGACAGGATCGAGTAAGAGAGCGGTGGTGACGAGGCGAATGAATGAGCCGTTCACTCTTCAAATATTCCACACGTACATTCGGGTTTCCCAAGCCGACTTTGATGTGCCCTATGCTGTTGCATAAACTGTGATAAATAAAAAAGGAAACATTTATCTAGTCAAATGGTTAAGATGTCAAGTACTTTTCCATTTAAATTTGTAACACACACTGCTTATACTTAATTTTAGGTTTACATTAAGTATACGCCATGTAAGCATGTTAGTTGACCTGTATGGAATAGCCTGACAAGGTTGCTTTAACTGGTTTTAAATTTGAAATTTAAATAACATAAATTTACAAGGAATATTTAAAGAAAATTTTATTATTATAATTTTAGTCAGAAGCACTGAAGCAGTCATTTGTGACCCTTTAAATCATATATATAATTGATCCGCATCAACAGGCGAAATGATCTAGCCACCTAAGAGCTTAAAAACATGTACCAATTTTTTCCAAATTTTATAAGGGGTTAAAATTTTCAAAAACTGATAATAAAGTTAAATTCTTTTAAGTGGCAAATTGGGTATGCAGATTTATTAACCTATAACATTAATTATTAACCTGACATATAAATGCTTTCGCAATTTTAATTAATGATTTTCAGGCTTAGTTATGAGATTAATTATATTTGATTTATCAAAGGTAAGGTAGATAATTTGGATTCAAAGAATGTGAATATTTTAACCCTAGTTGTGATCATTTTCCGATTCGATCTTACAATTTAATTGCAAAATGCAAGGGTGTAGAAACTTTGGCTTACTTAAGTAAATCTTCTATCGTGTTATAATTGATATAATTTGTTTGTTTTGTATAAAAATAATTTTAATAATTCCCATAAAAAAGAGTATTTAGTTTATCACTCTCCTTACATTTACGACATTTTTTCAGCACCCTTCGTGGCCAGTTTTTGTTGGCTCCTTTATGATGTGCAACAAGCACGCCACATTTGCGTTCAATGAGCATGAGATAATGTCATCATCAACGTCGTCTTCATCATTTAAGGCACAGACTGTTTTCTGTTCTGGTCAGGTGAAATGGGAGCTTGAGGGCGAGGGAAGTGGCCGGTGAGAGGCGGTTTATGTCTGTTGTCTGGCATTTGGTCTTTGGGAAAATGCATTTCTCTATTTAATGAGAATGGGATGGCATTTTTAATTAATTCCGCACTCAGCTAAACTTGATGGTATGGGTAAGGGAAATGTCATATATTTTGCAAGACGATTAAGTAGTTTATTAAAATATTAAACACTCATTTAATAATTTAATTTCTCTTTGTTTAATAATTAAAAGCTCAAAAATCAAACTTGGCGTCCACATTTCATCACGTAAAATGTTATTGTGTTAAATTTTAATATATTAATTCTTGTTATATTTATGAAGTTTATTTATCTGCAGCTCAAACTTTTCCAATCACATTATCCTTGGCATAATGAAAAATTATACAAAAAGAGCGCTTGCAATTCAATTTGCATTTTCTATGGAATAATTGCTTCTGTCCCGCGGCGAACACGTTATGGATTCAATAGCGGAAGGATCTTTTGTATATTTTGTTTCATGCAATTAAATTTATATTTACAGCAACCAGATAAATCAGACCCCATACTTATATGTATATATGATGCAATCCAGACGCCTTTTGCCTTGACAGAGAAAGCGATTTTTTATTTGTTTTACATTTGCATATTCATTTGATTTTTTATTTATTTGCCGCCGTCGATGATTTACATGTCCACTCTTTTGGTTTTCCTTTTTTTCTTTCTTTTGAAATGTAACAAAAATATAAAAAAAATTTTAACTCTGATTTGATTTTGCATCGCCCAAACATTTATTTTTCATTTATTGCCGCTGTCAAACATTCACAAAGAGGCTTCAATTGAGGGATAACGGCCGCCAAACTAAAGAGCACTTAGCCAGTCATAAAGGCAGATTTTGGAAGCATTTTCTTTTTATTTTCAAAAATAAATCATAATCATGATTGCGGATTCTTTTTCCGTTTCCAAAGTAATCTCAGTCACGTATTTCCATCTCCGAAACCCAAACTCCAAGGAAAACCTGCACGGCATATTAATTATTTATAATTATTGTTAATTTTCAAAGCAAGCAACCAACCAAACAAACAGGAGGAAAAAAAGAACAGAATGCGAGGCAAACCACAAAGAGAACCTCAATTAAAATTCAAATTAGAGCGCTTGGGAAATTCCGCTCTGCCTGGTGGCAAAAGTGCGAAAACTTAAAACCGCAGGGAGGTGCACCATTCGCCACCCACCACCATCTCCGCGTCTGGAAAACTAGCTGCCTAAAATGAAATATGAACCCAAGGCGCAGAACGGTGATGAGGGTGCTGGCTAGGGGGAAACCCCCAGCTTCCTCAGCCATGGACTACTAATAAGAAATTTGTGAACTTTGCAAATTTGCCATCATTAATTCTGGGACGGGGGCGCAAATGAAGAGAATCCGGGACGGAGGAGCAGTCCTGTGCCGCCTGGAAAATTGTCGAACGGGAACATTTTTCATTTGTCCTCCTCGCCAACGCGACGTTGCCTTCGTCATTGTGTAATAATTGTCAAGCAATTTAAATCGAAGCTTCGAGCGTAATAAATTGTCATATGGCAGGAGGCGGGAACACGCCCCCATTCAGGATCTACCCCCTATTCGTTCTGAAAGTCCTGACTTCGGCGATGAAAAAATAAGGTAATGAGGAAACGGAAATTGTTGCCGGAAGTTGGGAGCCAAGGCGAAAGGCGGAAGCTCATTTTGCAATATTCACAGTCGACTGATTTCGATTTCTAGCGTCGGCTTTTTCTGGGCTTACACCATGAATTGTAAATTGATTGAGGACCCAAGCGAAAATCTTCCAATTTCGCTTTGTCCCTTCAAATGCTCTGTTATTTATCATTAATAATAGTGCCCCTGGCCTCTGGATTCCAGGGCATAAATTCTTCAAGGGAAATGATTTGCACTGTCAGATAAAATATATTTTCAGATGGCTTACTTAAGGGGAATATTTAAGAGTATTCGAAAGTTAAAGGAGTTATGACACTACATTTGAGTGAGTAAAAATAATAACAAAACAATACAGGAAACTAACTTTAAGATTCCCATAGAATTTATTTATATAATATAATTGTCATGGTTAAGACTAACCGCAGTAGAGGACATGCAACTTTCCATTTTCTTAGGCTTCTCGTGTTATCATCAAAGTCAGCCTCTTCCTGGTTATCCATTGGACAGGTGAACGGCAATCACTATCGCTCCCACTATCACTAAAGATGTAAACACCGCGGAGGCTGCACACAGACTGAGGTCCGCTTGCAGTCAGCGCCTGTATTTATAGTCCCCGAGTGAAGAGAACAGAGAAAGTGAGAGCGAGAGAGCAAGGGCTATCTCTAGAGCTAGACTGAGAAACATAGAGAGCTAGGGATAGAGCTAGAACTAGAGCTACAGATAGAGAGAGAAAGACAGAGAGGGAGAGGGAGAGAAAGGTTTTCACTGCCATTACAACAATAAATTGTTACAAGAACGGAAGCTAATTTCAATTGCAATTCGTCGCTTATAATTAATACACTTTATATATTTCTTTATTTATTTATATATTTTATTATATATATTCATTTTAAGTAGAAAAAGCAAAATAATGTGTACTCTTATTTAATTCACCCATATATATTAAATTTACAGTTTAAAGTCAATATAAAAAAAACAAACTTTAATCCAAGTATTACAAATGCAAGAAATGGAAGTGTGAGGTATCCGCAGTACTTTGTAGCTTCTGTGAATTTTAATGAAAATATATTCTATCTTGATTCCAAAAATTACCATTTCCATTTCCTGATTTGTATCCGTCTTTCTTGACTCTAGCATCGGGCTCTTGGCCCTGCTATGCTCAAGGTTTAGGCCAGGTCCTAAAGGGACCTCAGCCAAGGGCTGAGCCGTTTGTCTGCCAGGACAACAAAATGGTAGCGCGAAATGCGCCTCGTAAATGCTTCCATGTTGCCAACTTCTCGTTTGTGAAGAGCTGTTCAAATAAGCACCGGAGCAGCAAAAACAACAACGGCAGCAGCGGCAGGTCCTGGGGTCCTGCAGGTGAAGGATATGCCCGGAGAGTGTTTAGGAGAACGGTAGCTGGCTGACGTTAGTTTCATTGTTGACATTGCAGGGGCAACGGCAGCACGGCAAAAGCGAGCTGGAAAAAAGGCAACAAAAAGCAATTAACTTGGCTTACATCTTTGTTGAAAGTTGGAACTGAGGGCGCGATTTATGCCGCCGGGCCCCGGGCAGCGGGTGCAGATGCAGTCGCTGGGTCCTGGTTCAGGTGAGCTGAAGTGTCCTCTCGTCCTTGGCTGGGTAAACGAAACAAGACAGAAGCGTGAATCGTGCGCAGAGATAAAAGTTAATGGCTCGGCGTACTTCAGGGGTTAGATCCTGCTTTGATTCGCTGGCAAATGGCCGAGGGTTCCAAGAGCGGATTGACGAGTGCCGGGTTAAATGATTAAATATGCACAAAAGCATATTTTAGTGAATGATTTGAATGGGATTCAGAGGATCAGCCTCTGCTGCGATGCAATTATAATAGTTGTATACATTAGATCCGCTTTAAGCCCATTTACTGGAATATATTACCACCGCTTCATTTGAGCTGTTATTTATTTACCCTTGATTCCATTTAATTCCCAGGGAGAACAAACTCCAACATTATCTGTTTTCTTTCTTTATTTTTAATGTTTTTGATTTCTGTTAAATCTCATTTTCAATTTTCCCCAGCATTGGGTTATTTATTTTCATTACACATTTCTACCAATGGCGGCTCAAATTGCATTTGTTATCCTTCCTCCTTTTATTATTTTTTATTTTTTTTGCTCGATTCCTGTGTGTATATCAACATGTTTGATTTCAATTAATATTTTCATTTGCATTTTCATCTGATTTGATTTTTGCTTTTATTTAATTCTTGCCGCTTTTTCTATCAATTTATCTTATTTCTAATTACGCTTGTTTACATCGCTTATGTCGATAGAAGCTTAATATTAACTAATTACCATTGCTCACATGGCACGGACTTATGTTGTTGACTTGTTTTCCATATTTGCTATTTAAAAAGGTTTCTTTTTTTATAGAAATTTCATTGATTTTACTACAAAAAAGCTCATTGCGTGATTTTTGTTCAATTTGTTTTTAAAGTGTTGTACATTCGGCTTGAAGCTGAACTCGTGTCTGTTTGTTTGTTTATTTTAAGCAGAGGCGCAGAAAAATTTGCTACACACAGAGAGAGATAGAAAGGGGGAATCTCACACTAATTTTAAACATTTATACAATTCAGGGAGACGACATCAATTGTTTGTGTGTGTGTTGAATATTTGAATTGTTTTTCTAAAAAAAAAATAATTACTTTTTGTAATGTTTTTTTATTTGCTTGTATTCTAATCAAAATGGACACAAATACATATTTGCACAGACATAATGGCTCAATAAATATTTATGTATATTTATATTTTAACTTGTTTATTTGGTTGTTCTTGTTGTTGTTCTTGTTGATTCTGGCAGGTACCTGATACTTAAATATCAATTAGTTTAGGATTAAAGTGGCAGGGGAGATCGGTCTGAAGCAAATAAAGGATTCAAGAGGATGTCTGCCTTATTCGCTTGCGTGTAAAAGCGCCTAAAAGCGAGCTATGCGAACTACAGCAAAAATGTTATTGTATACGTGTATTCGCAATACAGTTATATAAATACACCGATATATATATATATACGCAAAAATGTTCAGCCTACACACAAATATATAGATTTCCATATATATATATATGTATATATATATAGATTCATATTCTAGCTTGTAAATATTGATTTTCAAACTATCACTTATCCTACTTTGAGTTTCGACTTATTTAGCTTTGGTTTTCCTTACGTTTTGGTTTCATTCTTTTTAACACTTAGGGTTTTTGGCAATTGGAGCTTCGGCCTTGCCAATATCGACACTTGGCAATTTGTGGCGCCGGAAGACTCCAATTATTGGACGAATTGTTGATATACGTTGCGTATCATGCTCAAATAGAGAGTGAATGAGAGGGACAGAGCCGTAGCATGAGTGAGTTTTCTGGGGGGTCAGTGGGTGTCAGTGGGTGTGTTAGTGTGAGAGAGATATAGAGGACTTAAGTGGCTAAGTTCCCTAGATTAGCATTAGAGTTGGCGAGGCAATCTCAGATTTGGACTAGATAGCTTAATGGTCGCTGCCACTAAACGGTTTTCGGGCTTAGTTTTAACTTAAATATATATAAGAAATGGAAATGATACATTTCAAATTATCAAGTTGGGAAAATAACATTAAAAGTGTGACCAACCCTATATATGAAACATATTAACTGGTCGTAAAATAAGTCTCTAGCTCAAGTATTGTTGTTGCTAATTGATTTAAACTTTAATTTGTTTTGAAACTATTTCACACTTTTCAACTCGAAGAACGTTTAGTGGCAATGGCCAGCGCTTGAAGCTGTTGACTTGCTCTTGCCTGCGCTGAGTTGTGCTTATATTTTAAAGCTTAAAGGCAATAGGTTTCGCAAACATGGCCGTTAAAGTACATATTTGTATGTAGTAGAAGAGAGCACCAGCTCGCACACTCACACACACACACACACACACACACACAGTCTCTTGGGAATGTTGTATAGCCGCTTATAGCGAAGCACTCACAATCACATGCTTCGACAAGCACAAGTTTCAATTTGTTGCACTTTTTGAAGCATTAAGTAGCCGCCCGAGCTTAAGTGTGCGAGTGTGTGAGTGCTTCGGTGTGTGTGTGTGTGAGAGTATGTGTGTTCGAGTTGGAAAAGCGGTTTAGCTGCATTTAGCATTTAACAGTTACTAGTACTTTGTTTTTCTTTTATTCGTTTCCGTTTTTCATATTACACAACACTGAAAGCACACGTAAAGTTTTTGTTTTGGTTTCCTAGTTCTTGTTTTCTCTGTTAATTAATTTTTTTTTTTTTATTCAAAATTCTCTTTAACTTTTAGTTAAACTTACAATTTACGCACTAAACATGCACTGAATTTGTTTGTAAACTGTCTGCGCAGACCTTTTGTGTCAATAAGTTGTTAACATTTAAGATCTAGCAGTGTTATGGTACATCTTATGGACTTTTCAAATTCTTTTGATTTTAGTTCAAGATTGCACAACATAAATTTGGCTCTACTTAGTATCTAAGAACTTAAATAGTATCTATTGGGCCTTTTTTTAGTTATTACCTTTTAAGGAATTTATACGGATTATCAAAAAGTATAAGGATTTAAAAATAGAGAGTTCAAATTATAATTGTATCAGGTATTAATCTTTAAAACTATAAAACCCTCAATTGTCTTATTAAATTTTATGAAAATTATTTCAGAACCTTTTAAGAATTTGTTGACATCTATAAATATTTTTTAAAGGTTTTTAAGACTTAAACACTTCGTTTTCTTATTCAATAAATTAAACCTGATGAATTCCTCAAAAAGTAAAAAACAGATAAAAAGGCCTTTTAATTACAAATATTCTTGGTTTTTGTTTTCAATTTGAATAGATCGGATCACATTTACAAAAGTTGGGTCGTTAGGGGAGGAGGAGGAGAGCCTTAGGAGTTACTCAGATTGGACGGCGACGGTGGCCACTGCCGCTTGATGACGGCAAAGTGGGTCATCTGAAAGGTGTTTGTCACCTGGCAGCGACGCTCCACGAACCCGGTGAGGCAGTAGCCCATGTTGTAGTCCTCCATCGAGATGTTTGATGTCAGATACAGCTTGAACTCGTCGTTCCATGCGGCCGCCAGGGACTTGTCACAGCCACCGCCCATTGCTCGCATCCGGATTGCAGCAGCTGCGGCTGCGGCCGTTGTTGCAGGTGTCGCCGGCGTCGTGGGCGTTGGTGCAGCCAGGGTTCTAGAACCCGCTCCCGCTGCTCCCGCTGCCCCTGTACCAGCTCCCGGAGCCGGCGTTGTCCGACGAAAGTGTCCGGCAATCAGTAGCGAGCCCTGTTGCTCCAGCGGTAGCATCCGGGCCTTCGTTGCACGCCGCTGGGTGCCGGAGCACTCGACGATGCGACAGCGATTCGGTTGCCACCAGCAGGGTGTGATGGTCCAATAACTGGACGAGGCGGTTCGCGCCCAGCCCTCCTCCGGATACAGCAATATCTGGAAAAGGTAAGATGAAAAACACGGGGAGGATGAGCAAAGGGGCAGGCTGACTGACTGACGACGATTGGCCATTGGCCATTGGCTATTGAATATGGAGATTTTCAATGAATCGGAGCCAATCTCAAATTGCTTTTCTGTGTCGCGTTTTAATTGAAAATCGTAATTAAAATCGTGCAGATTGTTTAGCCAGGATTTGTCGTCATCGGATTCGATGTTTCCATGGCTCTGCACCTTAATCAAGTCCCAGTGTCCAGTTTGCAGTCAGTGTTTATCATTAAGTGGGCAATTATTGTTAAACACGCTTAATTTGGTCAAATTAAATTGGCATTCAGTTAACATGAAATTGCTTTTGGCATTTTTAAAGCGGCAACAGGAAGACCTGGCTACCGATAATTATAAATTATAATTACTTTTCTGCAGATTCGACAAAGTATACTGCTTCTGTCAGGAATATTTATATTGTAGTGAGATTTTTATTTATCAGAAATATAGTTTATAGTTTGATGAAGTATTTTTTTCTGCGTATACGTAATTTTCAAAAAAATAATTAAAGCAAAGTAATATTTAAAGCAAATGAATATAGTAAAAATCGTACAAATAGTAGTTACAACAGCAAATCTGTTTTTGCATTGTTTCAACACAAAAGCTAATTAATTAATTTTATACTCTTAGACACCTTTTTAAGTATATTTAAATAACCCGATGTTTTATTTCGGTTTTAGTTTAAAGTCCTAAATTTAGATTTATAGCAAACTTTAAATTAAAAATACCAATTTCACACTTTCCAACGCTATTTTTTAGTTAATTAAAATATCCAGAGATTTCTGCTTCACTCCTGGGTATCAAATTTTTTGCTTTTATACAATCTCGCCTGTTAATTTCGTTGGTTCTCTGCTTTATCATTTTTATTATTTGCCATTTCACACAAAACTGACATTTTTGAAGCTGCCACTGCAACCGCAACTGCTGCTGCTGCTGCTGCTGCTGCTGCTGTTGCTACTACTGCTGCTACTGTTGCTGCAACATCAGCCATAAATGAAATTCGTTAGTTAGTTTATCATTGCCAAAATGGCAGGCGAAGGCCTTGCCATCCGCTTTGGCTTCAATTTCATTTACCGATTTTGTATGCGGCTTTTGCGGTCAACGCACGCCGCTCCTCTATAATTAATACATTTCACAGTCGCTAAATGCCAGACATTTCAAATATTTGCGCACAACGAGGCGTATGCTTAATAAGCGGCTAGCAAACAGGAAGGGCGAAAAAGAGGGCGCCGGGCTAATCAAACATTGAACTTGGCTTAAAGCCAGGCACTAAGGGGAAAATCACTGGCACTCCCGGTCATGCGAAACTCCAAAGAAAACTTCAGCAAAATTGAAATGAAGCAGCATGGCTGGCATACACAGAGAGCAAAAGGAAAAGCCAATCTGGAGGAGGCGAGATGGAGTGGCCAACGGCCAATGGCCACCGCAGGACCATTGCCTGGGACCAGGATGCTTTTGAAATTGAAGTGGCTGCTGTTGCAGCCACAGGGAAGCTCGCCCCGGGGTACTCGGGCTCACTGGCTCCCTGGCTCGCAGGATCCTTGTTTTCCAGCTACCAGGTTCGCTTTGTTCTCTGCCTTTACTTTAAAATAAAAATTTCGCATATGCGCCCCCCAGGTAAATTGTTTAAAATTAATGCATAGCAGAAGCCGTAGCAGAAAGCGCTTAAAAATGCATCCATTTACGTTTTATTTACGTTCAACTCGGAAACTGACCGAAAAACAATGAGAATGGTCGATGCGTTGAAGTGTTTGGAATGGAAGTGAAAAGGCCAGACCCGGCCACGGCACATTAAGCTGGCCATGGAAATCCCCTTTGGCATTAATGAGGATTGAACGATTTTCGCCAGGGCTATATTGTATGGCTTATATGGCGTGAAAGTGCTCTGGATAAATACCTGATGGTCTTGAAACGGCATTAAATCTATAAATGGGTCAATTGTATTGGGATTGCGTAGTTAAAAAGTGTGATCAGTTAATAATTGTGCATAAAGAGCGATTTAATTCATGATTTATAGTTGCATTAATTCAGTATTTCAGTTTTGCAATTTACCTATTGTATCCTTTTGTATTTTATCTGTTACTTTGACTAATTTATAGAGTATTTTTCTCCCTTCTTGTTTGCCGCAAAATGTAATTTTCTTTAGCAAAATCCCCAACCGCTCTCTGACTGCATAAATGGCACATCAATTGGTGGTCTTTGCTCCACAAAATTGTCCTTTTCGTTCAGTTAGAGCAACCACAGCACGTGCTGCATATTTGTCACATTGCCCCACACGACGCGATTGGCTTCCCTTTAAAATGGCGAGTTCGGTTTTTTGGGAAATTATAAATGCGGTACAAACCCGATAGAGCGAGAGAAAATACAACCAACATCACAGGAAATTCACAAAAAGTCATCTCTCTAATAAGCTGCCAAAATGAGCTTTTCGAAGACAGGTAGTTACGGGGGTTGGGATGCTGCAGCGGGTAAAATGTGGCGCTTCCGACCCCGATTGCCGATTGCATTATTCAAAGAAAGATGCCAAAAGTGCGCGTTGCAAAATTGAAAATGCAACGGCAGCCAGCAATGCACGCAACAAATCGCTTGCCACTATCAAGGGTCATAAAATCCTTCACTGCCATCCGCGTCCTCTTTCCCTTTTTTGGGGAACGTACACACACATATTGGTTGTGTGGGGGTTTATTCAGTCAGAGGACTCGCTGGAGTTGACCAAGAAGTCACTGGTTCCTTTGGTAAAATGATCACTGAGAATTTCTTTTAGAATTAATACTGGAAAAATATATAAATTGAAGAAAATTTTAGTTTCAGATGTTTGCGGAGATCTATAAGATATAATTCCGATCTTGAGTCAGGAGGAAAACCTGTGTATCTTCAATATATATATAATAAATTTCCTCTCTGAGTAACAGTTTTCCCCGCCACATCAGCTCACGCACACACACACACGCACACCCTCTGGCTGAGAGGGGGAGACACGTACACACTGGAAAATCACTTCCGCTTTTGAGCTGCAACGTTGGCAATTTCCCAGCCAAGGGTGGGAGATAAATGGGATGCCAGTGATGGTGTTCCAGGGGGCAGTGGCAACGGGCATCAGGTGGCGAATGCCCGAATGGCGAAATCGAAAACGTGGCCAAGACTGGGTCGCCAGGACTCGCTCTCTCCAGCTTGAGGCGTCCATAATCGATTTCTGCGACTGCCAGTACCAATGCCTTGGCAGGATCTACCGTGGAATTGTTTGTTGACTTTGGGTTTTTTATTGCGTGCCATTTTATTGCCACCACAAGTCTCGAGTCTCCCCACATTCTCGGGTCTTGCCTTTCGCCTTTTCCAACTTGGCTTCTTCTCGGTAAATAAAATGGCAAATACCCAACCAAACGTATACGCTGAGGGCAAACCCCTATTGTCAGCAATTGGCAACTTTGTCTATTAATTTGCTTAATGAGTTCAGTGACAAATATTGAACGGCTGCAGCTTAACAAATAGCTGCCAAGTTTTACCCAAGAGCCACAGTTGAACCAGGAATCCAGGCATTCAGGCAACCAGGAGTTTCTCGGAACCAGGGGGCATAGAGAAACTTTTCTCATTTCGCTAGCCCGTTCGCCTTGCTCGACATTAATTAATTAAGTGCTGCCGCAGACATTTCAACACTTTTACCAGTCAGTCAGTCAGTGGGTCCCATCCCATCCTTCAGTCCCTTAGTCCTTCTGTTCGTCTGTCAGTCTGTCATCGACTCAGGCATTACTTAGGCAAATTGTCTTTGTGTTTGTGTGCATATATACATATATATATATCTGGGCACTTCAACTTAATTACCCGCCCTCATAAGCGCACTGCAGAGATGCCAAGGAGCCCCGGACTCGAGCTCGGCACAATCTTGCGCCCCCCAAATCCAGCATAAGCTCGAAAATCAAAGCTTCAACACGATTGTCTAAGCACTTGAGGAGCACTCTTTTCCACTTCCATTTCCACCCAGACGAGACCAGACCAGAGCATCCATCCATCCATCCACGCACGCAACTCCACTCAAAGGCCGCCGGCAAGAAACCCCCCTTTTATGAACTCATCTTCACCGCCAAGAAACTTACGGCATCACCCATCTTCCTTTGCTGAGCTGTGAAGGAGGAGCTTACGAAAAAAAGGATGATGAAAGGAAGCTATTCGAAAGATTAAGGACATTCAGACAGCTTGCAGATCATCTTGAAGTCCGAAAAGTGTCAATTCTTTGATTGGGGAGATATTTGAATCTATTAAGGGAAATATTTTATAAATGATATATATTATTTTGATGCTTAAAACGTTTATGGGTATCTGTAAAGTTCAATAATAAGATTAGTATTATCTAGGGTGCTTCAGAAATCCCTACTGGTTTTTTAAACACTTTAAAATGCGCCTTAAAGTATCTTTAACAGATTTCTTTTACCTAACAATATTTGGTCTATAGCACCCATATTTATAATTCAATTTTTCATATCTAAAGAATAAATAATATCAAAACTTCTGGCTTTAATTACAAACACAAGCCCGCATATATACAGATTTCGTTTCCTGTTCGCAGAGCCGAACGAAGCCTTTGTTTCATTTCGCTGAAAGGCATGCTTTTGAGGCAACTTCCCCTGGAGTTCTTTACACACCATTCTTACATGAACGTGGAACGGCATTCCTGCTGGGGGGAAAATTGAAGTTTTCCTTCGATTCGAAAGCGTAAATGAGTTTCTGGCTGATTGTAAAACTTATCTCTGGTCTTCGGCTGTGGCTCCAACTCCAACTCCAGCCGCGGCTTTGTTTTCAATTGCCAGTGCCAATTGTATCAGTTATTTTCTGTTTGTATTTCATTATTCGCCTCACGCGCTTCACTATCCGCATCCTTTTATGTCCATGGTCCAGACGAGGACCAACTGGGATTGGTAGTAAGGAACAAGGCGGCTTGCAGAGGTCGGAGGTGTGAGAGG